GCATTTGTGTACCAGATGAATGTGGTGCCGGTGAAGTCCAAAATACACCTGGAACTGGCGTTCCAGATAGTTGTGAGCTACCAGGTGGATGCTGGGAACTGAACTCTGGCCCTACGCTCTTGCCCTGTGAGCTGTCTCTGCAGCCCCTATGAGAAACTTTTCTTTCTTTCTTTCTTTTTTTTTGCATGTATTGCATTTTTTCTAGGGTGGATTGAAAATAACATTTTAACTAGTAAAGTGAGCACTTGAAAAATGTCCCTCCTGCTTTGCTCCAGGACTGCCACAGTTGTTCTTCATCTTCATCGCTACTGCTCAGATCTTTAATTACTTCCCAGAACTTCCTCTCCAGCTCCGCATTCTCTGTTGTGTGTGGCTGCTGAGGTCACACTCAGTTCAGTTGTCACTTAAAGGTTGCTGAGGAATCTCTTCCGTGCCTCCCGATGCGCATCCTGATAACACCCTCATTCACATAAATACAAATAAATGAATCTGTTATTAAGCAGCCCACACACAGAACCAAAAGAAGACAAGTCATTGTTCTTAAGGAGACACTGACATTGGGCCTACTAGACAAAGACTTTTCACTAGCTGCTTAAAATGTCTTCGCATAGCCAATACCAACTGTGTCTAAAGAACTTCAAATGCCTGGATCTAAGCTTTCTAGCCTTTGGTGAGAGTCTCTGCAGAGATCTCTGTAAACAAGGCCATCAGAGTGTTGATCCAAGTGATCCATTTGGTTCAGTGTGACTCACTAGCTGCTATTGGTTCACACTTTGAAAGCCATACACCAGGCAGTGTATTGTAGGCATATTTAAGTACAGCATGGTTTGGAAAAAAAGAAGTTTCCTGGTGTAACACAATCCCCTGGGCACAAGTACTCATAATTACACCAGACCTCTTCTCAAAGTGCATGCCATTTCTTCCGTGAAGATGTGTTCTAGAGATAAGGTGCACATATTGTCTTCAGGCCCTATGGGAGGATCTAGGGCCACCTCGGTCATGCTGACAGTGTCCAGGTCCTCATCTCTGGTTGTGGGAGCTTGGGGGAGCCCCTGGCTAGAAAGATAACACAAAGGTCACTTAGATGATTAAGTATCTCCAGTCCTGATTGTGGGAGCTTGGGGGAGCCCCTGGCCATACAGATAATGCAAATGTCACCTAAACTATTAGCCATCTCCGGCCCTGTTAGAGGGAGGTTGATATGGCCTGGCCCTACAGATAGCGCAAATCACCAGGTTCTTAAACCACCTCCATTCCCAGCTTTCTCTGTGGAAAAACAGGTTATACAAGTCTCTTGTTGAAGAGACAATTCTATTCTACATGTTTAATGTTCCTGGTTCTTTCATGCTTGTCTTTGAGCACAGGGACTTTTGTTCCAAACAGGGCTTTGAGAAATGCAAAGACAAGCCTTTATGTATCTGCTGAGAAGCCCGCAAATCTGGCTTACCCCTGCTTCCTACTCATTCAGTGTCTGATGGAGGACCAGAGGGAACTATTTAGAGTCCGTCTGAGTATTTCAGAGCACATGCGCCATCCAGAACTTGGACATAGGTCTACATATAAAAGTGAATATCTTGGAGATATTGAAAGATTTTTTCCGATTGGCTACAGACTTCTTCCTTACCACTTCTCTGTGGCTTTTGGTTCTCTTGTTAATACAAATGCTTTTGTAATCACAGACAGATGCAGTGTTAAATAATTGATACTGATTTTTTTTTTTTTTTTTAAAAAAGCGCCTCCACAGGAATATTTGTTGTCACTGGGGGAAGTCTGAATTGGGTCAAAACAGACAATTATTTGTTTGAGGCTAGTTTCAAGATTTCACTTTTTAAAAATCGTGTATTGTCTTCAAGAACAGGACAAGCTCTTAACTGCTGGGCCATCTCTCTAGCCCCAATACAAATAATTCTTGAGAGAGATTTCTGGGGATGGCAATGCCAAAGAACAGTATTAGAAAGAGCCACAGCTGTGGCCTAAGTCTGTGCTGTCAGGGGAGCTGCTCGTTCTATCATTGCTTTTATGGAGGGGGAAGATTTGGGAAGGTTCTTACTTTGATGTTCTGTGACCTCCCTTCCTTTGCTTTCTTTAATTAATGCCTTTGTTGAGGACTCCAGCTGTATGACCTACACATTCCCTGTTTTGGATTCTACAGTTGCATTCTGATGAAGTTCAATGTGCCTCTTAGGTGGTACCATGTACTTTATGTAGGGGTACAGTGTTTGAATTTTTAGGCTGTCTCAGAATATATATATACACATATATGTATATATATGTGTGTATATATATATGCATGTACATACATGTCATGTGCCTGGGGCCACCAACTCCAGGGAGAGCCCTGCGTAGAGCATCCAGACTTAGGGTGGTACCTGATGTTGAGTGAGGATGTGCGTTTACATGAATGTTCAGATTTACCTCTTCCTGCTATTTTTTCAAGGTGATTTGTTAAGCCAATTCATAGATGGGTTTTGTGAGGGCATAAATTTCCTTTTATCTTCAATTAAATGTACAGGAGTGATATTGCTGGGTCGTATAGCAATTGCACATTTAATTTTGTAAAATACCGACAAGCTGTTTCCCAGTGTACCTGTTCCTTCTCAGTCTCTCTGGCAGTGTGAGAGAGCTGGTTTCTGGGCACACTCACCAGCATTTGGGGCTGTGACAAATGTTTGTCTTAGTAATTCCAATGGGTATGCAGTATCATGTCATTATGGCTTTAATTTGCATTTCTCTAATATCTAATGATGTTTAATATATTTTCATTGGTTTAATTTGGTATCTATGTAAATATCTTTGGGGAAATGTCTGTGTCATTTTCTAATTATACTGTTTATTTTCTTGTGTGTATTTATAAATCTGAGTAAGTGCTCATGTGGGTGAGTGTGGGCATGCACTCACCTACCACGGCCTGTGCAAATAGGTCAGAAGATGATCTTGGTGCTGGTCCTCACCTTCCACCTTGTTTGAGGCAGGGTCCACCCCATCCCGGATGGTGCTGCCTCTGTTTGGTGCTGGCATTTTAACTTCTGGGTATTTACTTACTTGTGCTACAGGTGACTGTAGACTCTTGTGTTACAGCCAACTTTTACATGTGCTCTGAGGATTCAGACTCATGTCGTCACGCTTGGGCAGCAAGAGCTTTTGACCACTGAGCTCTCTCTGAATCTGTTTTCTTACTGATGAGTTCTGAGGGCTTAAAAATTGACACCCTAAATATGTGTGTCTCTTCTGATACATGATTTTAAAATATTTTATCTTAGTATAATTTGCTTTTTTCATACTCTTCATGGGATTTTTCTCAGAGCAAAAAAAAAAGAAAGAAAGAAAGAAAAAAAGAAAGAAAGGAAGAAAGAAAGAAAGGAAGAAAGGAAGAAAGGAAGAAAAAAACCAATTTCAATGACTTATCACTTAAACATCCTTTTGTAGATTATGCTCTTGGTGTCAAGTTCACAAAATCTTTTCTGTAAAAATGTGCAATTTGGCCGTTGCTCAGGGTTCCGATAAAGGACCCGTGGCTGTTGGTTGAAAAGTCCATCCTTTCTCCTTGGGACTGCTGTATGAGGCCATGGTCTCACCAAGCTGCCACCTGCACAGCAGGCTGACAGTGCAGTTTGTTTTTCTTCTAGTCTTGGCTCCCCTCTGGGATTTAAAAAAAAAATTTTTTTTTGTCTGAGAATCAAAGTATTTCTCCCTTTTCTTTAATAAAAGTCCTTTACCGTGATACAGAATTAGAAACATATGGCTAGATGCAAATGTCTAAGTCCATTTTTCTGTAACAACTTTTAAGAGGAGAGAAAAGAAGAAAACAAAAAGTGAAAATAGTGGAACAGAGGAAGAGAAGAAAGGAAGGAGAGGGCCTGGGGCTGGGTCCTAATTATCTCCGGGAAAATTCTACTGACACGTATACTTATATAAATATGGGTATGGTGTGATTCTAATGACCCTAAATAACATGTAATGATCACCTAGGTGTAACCAGAACACCTACACCTCAGATAGTCACTTGGTCTGTGACTGGGGACCCCAGTTGCCCCCACAGACTACCTGTGACAAATCACAGCTCATAGGTCATGGGTCTTCAGGAGCTCTCATGGCTCCCTCTAGGTGTCCCGGTGGAAAAGCTGGGAGTCACCTCCATTCCCCAGGGTGCTGAGCAGTTGGTGAGTAGACAGCTTTGCTTAGCACCAGGGGGCAGGGGGCCTGCCTTCCAGGCTCTGACTGGAGAGCAAGCTCTGCAGCCATAAACAGCTTAGGAAAAGCTGCAGCCTGGCCCTTCCAGCTGCCTCCAGCAGGGCTGGGGGATTAGTGAGGGTCTCTCTCTCTCTCTCTCTCTCTCTCTCTCTCTCTCTCTCTCTCTCTGTGTGTGTGTGTGTGTGTGTGTGTTGCGGGAATTGGGGGGAAGAGGGGCGGGCAGATGGAAATGTCAGCTTTGTTTTAGAGGATACTTCTGGAAGGAAAGAGAGCTGCTCTCCTGCTAGTGGCACCTCCTCCAGCTTCCCTGTGTGTCCTTCTTGCTCTGAAATTCAGGCTCTTGATCTCTTGGTGGGGGCGGGGGTGGGGGCGATTCTCACTAGTCCTGTAAGCAAGAGCTGACAGCAGGGTCTGCCTGCCCTCGCACCGCCGCCAGCTCTGTGGTGGCAGCTAATGGCCAAAGGCATACGAGATGGTTGTCAGTCTGGTTTCCAAGACAGAGATGAAGACCAGGCACTGGACACTCCCTGGGGCAGCCAGCTCCCTGGAGGAGGGGGGTACTTGCTGTAAGTCACTTGTCCTTCACCCATTTCCTCAACTTTTCATCTGAGAGCCGATTGATCCGTGTGTTTGCTCATTTACTAGAAAGCCACCGACTTGTCTGGCCAGGTGCAGTGACCACTTCTAATTCTCCCATCTGCTTGTCCTGCGCCTCGGAGGTGTGGGCAATGGAAGTGAGGCGAACATACGCTACCAAGTAGCTGGAGTGATGGAGCATTCCCAGGCTGTGCAGAACTCTGTCTCCACAGGCATGAACGCAGCTTCGGTGACACTTGCCAGTGCCCTGCAGGTCAGGGGTGAAGCCCTGTCTGAGGAGGAAATCTGGTCTCTCTTGTCGATGGCTGCTGAGCGGCTCCTGGAAGACCTTCGAAACGGTAAGGGGGTATTTGGGCGAACTGAGTCCTAGGAAATTGAAGGCAAAGCTTCTTAAGCAAACTTCCTTCTGGCAGCTTCTTGATCTGTGATCAACCCTAAGGTTTTCGAACAAGAGGGCAAATGGTCCCCACCAGGCAGCTGCTGAGCAGTGGCCTATTCCCAAGGCCTATGCCATGTGACCAAGCTGAAAGGTGGTGCTTCTGCCTTGGGCCTGTGTGGTGCTTACAGAGAGACTAGTTGCAGCAACTAGGCCTCTGCCAACAGTTGGGGTGTCCCCCACAAGCCATCCCTCAGGTGCTGTTTATTCTGTCCCATCAGAAGACAGAACCTACAGTGTGCTCTAAACACGAGAGGTTAACATGAAAATCACTAACTTGTGATATGGATGAAGATGTAAGAAAATCCTACGTGGGCCCCTAGAGTCACAGACAGGTCCTCCTCCCTGGGTTAGGTTTTAGCCTATGGAGGAACTGTCTTGCCACTCTTGATGCTGAAAGTCTCTACTCTAGATGATCTGGCCGGAGGTAGTCTACAGTCATGGTCCAGGTGACGCAGAGGCAACAACCAGGTGATGACTCAGAAGTTAGGGGTGACCCTTTGGAATGTGGCACGCTCAGATGAACAGGCTGACAGTGTGAGGGCAGGAAGACTGGAGCCTGGAGCATCTACGTGGACAGGTCCGTGAGGAAGTGGTCACAGCGTAAGGCCAGGCCTTGAGGTATGCAAGGGCTTTCATGTCCTGTGGCTGAGTTCAGGACAGGTATGCTCCTGCCTGGTCATCTTGTATTCATACCACTGGCTTTTCAACATGGCAGGAGAGGCCCTACTTCCTCTGAGGTCTCTGTAGTGTCTCTTCTGAGAAGAATGTTCATAGTGCTGACAGCAGAGATGCTTAAAGAAGCCCGTATGGAAAGGCGATTTGGAGCTGTGGGGTGTTCAGTCAGCAGGTGAAGTAAACACAGAGAGCCTGAATGTAGATATTGACTCAGTAGACTCCTCCCGCTGACTGAGACATTGCAGAACATGGCTCAGGTCACGCCAGAGTACGTCGGCTCCACTGGGTGCCGGGTGCCAGTGTCAGCCAGTGGAGGGAGGCTGCACGCTTAGCTTAGCTTCTCTTCCTCCTGAGCCCTCATGCCTGTCTCCTGCCCTGGGGGATCTGATGAACTACTACTGTAGAGCTATGCCATGACCAGTGGCCTCAGTCCCTGACTTAGCTGCAACAAACTCAAGCCTGCACCAATTCCCAGCTGGTCTTGGTCGTTTTTGACCTTTTACTTTAAAATACTCAGGTCCTTAGATGCCAGATGCAGGCACTAAATTCTTATCCATAGTTGCAACCACCTTCTGTAATACACACTTCTGTGTGCTGGGTGGAATTTATCCTGTCCCGTGCCTGAATAGGCCCTGGTCAGAATCAATCCTAGAAGCAAGTGCTGTCTGACACAGTGACCCTGTTCTTACGCCCCACCATTGCCTCGTTTCCAGATTCCTCAGACTATGTAATCTGCCCCTGGTCACTCCTGCTTTCTGCAACTGGAAGTGTTTCTTTCCAAGACCATGTTTCTCACATAGAGGCTGCACCATTCAAGGCTCTGGAACTGCTCCAGGGACCAAATGAGGATGAGCAGCCCGAAGCATCACAGGTTGGATGTGTGTCGCCCCGCTTCAGTACCCTGGGGAAAGCCTTTCCTGGGGGAGACACCCCAAACTCCCTGCCCAGCCCCAATTCTGAGGTTTAATGCATGTTCTTTGCAGACTGTCTTGCCAGCAATTTACCAGCTCTTGGATAAGGCCATTCAACTTCATTGAGCCCAAGTTTCTCAGTCAGTTAAGCGAGACAAATATAACTTTGTGGATCAAGCTTTACCAGCGTTAAAAGTAGTGTTGGGGGCTGGGAAGGTGGCTCAGGGGTTAAAGAGCTTGCATGTAAGCCTGCAGAAAGCCAGGTGTGATGGTGCATACCTATGATCCCAGTTCTCAAAGCTGGAGAGAGGAGGATTCCAGGGCCTAGCTAGCCAGCTAGTTTAGCCAGCTGGCAAGCTCCAGGTCCTGTAAGAGATCTCAAAATATAAAGTGGGCGTGAACAAGGAAGTCACCCAGCTGTCAGTCTTTGGCCTCCACATGTGAGTGTGGGCATGAGTACCACCCATATATGTATATTTCCATACTGCACACAGAAATAAGTATAAAGAGAAGTCTTGGGGGAACACTGTGGGCAAATGGTTTTTATAAAGTGGCCACTGGCTACATGAAATAAGGTCCTTCCGAATGACCCAGCCAGCCCCCATAGGTGTTTAATCTCAGGCAGCTTCAGGAGGTTTCAGCTGCATTTAGGATTTGGTATGGAGCCTACTGGGTTCAGCTTGGCCCCCAGAACATTTTTAGACAGAGCTTTGGAACCCATGGAAAGTTGTGGGTGTGAGTGGTGCCTCTGGCTGTGCCTAGGATGCTTATATCACTTCTGCTCAGGGTCACTGCAGCTGTGCCCCAGATGCCATCCCAGTTCTGCTAAGGATCACTGCAGCTGTGCCCCAGATGCCATATCACTTCTCAGAGCCACTGCAGCTGTGAACTGCAGTGGGTCTGTGGATGGGGCTGGGCTATAGGGGAGCAATTTCAGATAATTTCAGACAATAATTTACAGGCACAGGGGACACTTGTGGGACCTCAGATCACTTGTGTTAGACAGTCTAACATAGGGAGAGCTAGATTTTCTCTAGCTCTGGATGTTAGGACAAAGAACTGGCCAGACCTCCTCCAAGGTGTGGGAGTCAAACCACCCTGGAGAGGGTGAAGCCTTCCCAGCAAGTGCTGGAGGACAGCCGGAAAGTCCCCAGCAGCACTTAGTAACCACGGGTTTAACACACAGTTTGTTACTTCAGGGGCTTCTCTTGCACAGCTCCAAAAGCATTTTCCTGAAAAGGATCTTCATGAATATTGTCTTTTTCTCCTACAGTGAAAGCCATGAGCATCAACAAAGGACACTGATTAATCTGGAGGTCACAGCTATGGGATTCCAGGGCTTGGGTTCCATCCCATGTTGGGTCTTAATAGGCAATTCCTCTAGCTTCCCTTTGCTTTTGTTTCCTCTTATCTAAAATGAGGACAATTGAAAACCTGCCTCAGAGGATTGTTGTGAAGACCAAATACATTTAAACAAGCAAAAGGCTTAGAATAGGGTTTGGCCTGATAATAATGACCAACCCAAGTGCTTTCGTATCCCATGCTTATGAGGGTTTGGTCAGAACACTCATTTTTAAAAATATAGAGCTTCAGAGAAGTTGGGCCATGCTTTTCTGATAAGACACAGGGCTTTGCAATAAAATTTCCCCCTAGCATGTTGTGGATGAATAGCTATGGTTACAAGAAACAGAAAGTCTGAGATACAACAGCCAGAGTCACAGTTAGTCCTTAGTTACTTAAGGAGCAGTTTTGGTATGGGTAGCAGAAACTCAATGATATCAACAAAGATCTAGAATATATATTTCTATTTTAGTCCCTATGCTTATATCCACACGGTTGCAAGATGGCTGCTGTGGCTCCACACATCATACGGTTTGCAGTTAAACAACAGGGCAAGTGTGGTGTCAGTCACATACTTTTTTTTCCCAATAAAGCAAAAGTTTCATTTCGTTTTGTTTTGTTTTGTTTTCTTCCGTAAGCACCCTAACAGATGTTCTCTTATTTTTCATCAAACTGGGGAGTCATAGTTACTGCTAGAAAACAAATTTCTAGCCTGCAGCGTGGGAGGGAGCAAAGGTTAAGGAGGTACAGATGGTGCCGTGCTAGCCTAGCCAGATTTCCACCACTTGCTCCTGGAAACTGCTGGGCTTTGCTTGCGGGACTGTGGACTCATGCATGACTTCTAACCACGTGCTTTTCTCTTGGGCAGATGCATGTCTACTCCTTAGGGATGACGCTCTACTGGTCAGCTGGGTATCGTGTTCCGCCAAACCAGGTCTGCAAACAGGAATGCCTCCCACATTATCAGGTCATCCATCTGGATTAGCTTAGTAGCCCTTCCCTAGGCTGGACCACATGCAACAAGTGTGGCTGTCATCACCCTTCTGGGCTAAGCCTTACACAGGTATTACCAGCTGATTGCACAGTCATTCCCCTGGGTCCATAAACAACCTCAGCATGTTCTTAAACACTCCAAAGAAGATCCAAGTTGGGACTGGCAGTCAAGATAAGATTCACTCGTCCTCTTGGACCACAGGAAGAAGAAAGCTAGAGGGTTTCACATATACCAAAGATAGTTATCTATCTATTCTCTCAAATGCTTTTAGAATTAGCTCTTCCTGAAGTGAATCACCGAGAAAAGGGTTCTGTGCTCAGTAACTGAGAGAAAATATACCCTGCAATGTCTCCTCTGGAAGAGGTGTCAGATTAGCTTGTTACAGACTGTTTAAGACTCAAAATACAGAAACTTGATGGGACAAAGCATGTTGCACAATTTGATGAGTTCACGCACTATGTTGAATGCATCCATTCATGTATGTGCCTATATGGATGTGTGCCTGTGCCTGTGCGTGCGTGCGTGCGTGCGTGTGTGTGTGTGTGTGTGTGTGTGTGTGAATGCACATTTTCATCTGACATCATAAGAATCCTTTAAAAACTAGGGCTATGAGAAGCATTGCTGAACCTGGGCATGGTGCCCTCCCTCCCCTCTCACCAGTCCCCCCTTTTTCTCCTTGCCTCCCCTTTTCTCTTTCTCCTCATCTCTTAAGCAGAAAACTATTTACAACTCATTCTGCCTGAAGTGGGACCCTCACTGGCTACCTGCTGCCTTCATGGTTTTATTCCAGCATCTCACCAGGGCACATGGATTCCAGAACTTGGCTCCTGCTCCTGTCTGCTGGTTCTCTGACAGCCCCAGGGCTTGTCTTATGGATGTGTGACTTGCAATCCCATGCTTGGCTTAATGCCAGCGCCATCTTGTACCCAGGACTTTGGGGCCTCACACGACCATTCTGTAATAACCCCTGCTGCAGTCCTTTCCTTTACACCAGCTCACCTGCACCTCTTGCCTCTGTGCATGCGCACCAGAAAGCTCATTCTGCTTTTCCAAACCCCTGCTGCTGTTTGAGGTCTGCTTGGGTCCGGCTTCTATCTGTATACTTGTGGGGTCCTGTGATTTCTGGGGGTCAAGCCCTTGTCATCTTCAGCTGTTCTTGCTCTTTGAGAAATAACATTTGTGTGGGATTGTGAGCTTTAAGACAATGAGGTTGAAGAGCAACTGCGTTACTTGACACAGTGGCCTCTTGCTGTGAAGACGGGCACCATAGTCAAGGCTCCCTGAGAGCATTAAGAGAGTGTGTGTATAAGACTCTTTTTCCTTTGGCCTGATGTGAGTGTGGCATAGAGTTCTAGCAATGATGACTGTAACGGAGCCCTTGCCTGCTGCTCATAAGTCTGCATGAAAGGCCACATTGACTCACATGACTCCCTTGCACTCAAGTTCCAGGAGGAAGTCCCCATGAGATGACTGCCCCCTCCCACACCAAATAACTGTTGGAAGCACCAGGCTACCAGATCAATGTAGTGGTGTGTGTGTGTGTGTGTGTGTGTGTGTGTGTGTGTGTGTGAGACCACTAGTGTAACCAAGCATTTGGCTCAAGTCAAGCTCAAGTCGAGGTCTATGATGTCTGGCACAGGCTTTTCATCAACTTACCAAGCTTGCATCGGAGCTGAAGAGCTCAGATCAGAGTGTAGCAAGGACAGCAGATGTCGAAAACGTGGCTTGGCCTCAATGACAAATCAGATGTCTGTTCCAGAAGCAAATCTGTTTCCGTAGTGATGAGTGTGTTTCTTGGAGTCTCTGGGGCATGTGGGCCTTGGTGCCCTGCAGCAGCCATTCCACTCGGCCACACTTGTCACCAGTGTGTCCTCTGCAGCCCCTGCAGCTTCGGGAGCCCTTGCACTCCCTCCTGCTGGCCATGTGCGAAGACCAGCCTCGAAGACGGCGGCCGCTGCAGGCAGTTCTGGAAGCCTGCCGGGTTCATCAGGAAGAAGTGGCTGTATACCCAGCCCCTGCCAGTCTCCACGTCAGTCGGCTGGTGGGCTCGGTGCTGGGCACAATCTCTGAGGTCAGTTTTGGAACCCGCCTTTCCCATTGGAGAGCCACTAGCTATGTATGGCTATTGGAATATAAGTCAGCCAAATTTTAGTTAAAAGGAAATTCAATTAAAAAAAATAAAAACATCCGGGGGCTCCGTGATAGGGTACTTGTCTAAGGAGTTAGTTAGCCTGACAGGTAGCTTGCACGTGTTGGCATCAATGCACCCCTCTGACCTGATGATGGCTGACTTGCGAGTCCATCAACCCTCACTCAGGTGGAGAAACGAGTTGTGGAGGAAGGTACCTGTGAGCGGCAGAGCAGAAGCTACTTTCTCAGGAGTAAGCTGCATCCGGCTGCCAGTGAGAGCCCCGGAGCTCGGGTCTCGGATGGTGTGCAGCCGCGAAGAGGTGAGTGAAGGCTCTGAGCCTATGTGGACAGACGGTGTGCAAAGTGACCTTGTCTCCTGTCCTGCGTGTGGACATCCCTGCCATACATACAGACATGCCCATGCAAGTGCTTCTCTCCCTGGAAGTACTAAGGGCCTGGGCCTAGGGTCAGTGTGCCTGCTAAACTTATAACACTTAAATAGAGTTACTTATATTAAATATTAGCTGTTTAAATTGGAGTCTAGTTGTCCAAACTGATGATTAAGTTAGAAAACGCAAGAGGTTTTTTTTTTTTAAAAAAAATTATTTATTTATTTATTTATTTTTAAGACGGGGTTTCTCTATGTAACAGCTCTAGATGTCCTGGAACTCACTTTGTAGATCAGCTGGCCTTGAACTCACGGAGATCTGCCCGTCTCTGCCTCCCAAGTGCTGGGATTAAAGGCATGTGCCACTATTGCCTGGCAAAAAGATTTTATGTTATGTATGAGGGGTTTTTGTCTGTGCACCATGTGTATAGCCTTATGCCTGTGGAGGCCAGATGAGGGCGTCAGATCCCCTGTGCCTGAGTTTCAGATGGTTATGAACCTCCACGTAGGTACTGGGAATTGAACTCAGGGCCCTCAGGAGAGCAGTCAGTGCTCTTAACTACTGAGCCATCTTTCCAGCCCCCAAACCGAAAAAGGTTTTAAAATAACCTGCTAAGTGGAATGACAAGTAGTGACTCATAAAAGGCTTTGTTTTTACTCTAGGTGTGCTCAAAGAGTGGTTTTTACATTAACCTTCAAATATGCTTTTACCTGCTTCTCAGCTCCCTGAACCTGAGTTATATTTTAGTTTCTTTTCTTGTTGTGGGAGGTAACTGTTAAGTCTGGAACATAGCCTCCACCACTTGGCATCCATCCCAGCCAACCTGGCCTGGGAGTTGCATTGCTCTGGACTCCAGGACCACTCCCACAGGATATTTAAGTGGGCTCCCAGAGAAAAAACACATGGTTTTCGGGTCTGCATGGGCTCCCTGCTTTTCTGTCTCCCCGCCATGTGCCCAGCCACGCGAGAGCATCATTCTTAATAAAACGATGGCATTTTGACTTGGTTCGATTTGACCTAATTGGATTTCTTGTGCCGGCAAAGCGACCCTTATTATTTTTTACTTAACAGTAACAACAGCCACAAGCACCGAAAGGAGGCAATGTTTGGTTTCACTCACAGTTTGAGGCATGGTGGGAGGAGTGACGTGGCACCTGCAGTCACAAGGTTACGTGGCTTACGCGGTCAGGGAGCAGAGAGAGGTGATGCTGGTGCTCAGCTCCCTCTCTTCTTTTCATCCAGCCCGAGAACCATGCCATGGAATGGCGTGACTCTAGCTAGGGCTGATCTTCCCATCTCAATTAAACCCGTCTGAGAAGTCTCTCAAGGCATGCCCAGAGCTTTATTTCCAGATCGCGTCAAGTCGATCAGTATTAGCCCTTGCGCCTTATTTATTTACTTACTCATTTTGAAAAGGAATCTCGGGATATAGCCTAGAATTCTAGATCCTCAACCTCTGAGTACAAGGTCACAGGTGTGTACCACCGAGCCTTATTTTGTTTATTTAAAGTTTTTTGTTTGTTGTTCCTAAATCAAGGACCTGCTTTGCCTTTTGTTGTTAGGCTTATCCTCCTCGCTGTCACAATCTCACCTGGCTATACTGTCATTTCCATTTGCAGTGTGGGAGCACAGAGTCAGAGGCAGTTAGTGATCCCCCGAGGGCACACAGCTGATCAGTTGGGGTGGTGTCCACACTCTTGGCCACTGTTTGTTTGCACAAACCCTCCCTACCGCGCTGTTTGGTTAGTTTCAGAGAGAAGTACAGAGACACAGAGCTCCTCAGAGCGACATTGGAGCACCACGGCTCACAGTCCTTGTGGCTTCCCTCATGGGTGAGTCTCCTCTTGCAAAGCTCACACTGTGACCTTGGTGTGGGAGTCTACACAACCTGATTCTCTGCTGATTAGTGACAAGAAGCCCATTCTCCAGGAATGGACATTAGTGAAAAGTCAAAGTATATGCTGCCTGCTGGCAACGGTCTTGTCAGGAACCTGTATCTTCTGGGAAGCCCATTCAGGCCCAGAAATGGAACATCATGAGCACTGGTGTTTTAGTGGTGATCCCCAGGCACACCCTGCCTGCCTGCCACGCAGCACACAACCACACAGCACAGTGCCTGCTGGACAAAGTTACTCAGAGCTCATGACTCGGGCGTGCTGATTTTTGGGGTTTAGCCAGAATTCCTGGCCTCTCTGGCTGCCTTCTGCATCTGTGACCAGCTGAGTCACTGACTGGGGGAGGCTTCACTCCTGGGGAGCGAGTTTGTTACCCCAGCATCCCCATGACATAGAGTGTACCCAGTTGGCTTCAGCCTGTCTAGGTGATTGGAGTTTGTTAGCTTCACTGAATCACTGGACCCCTGTTGCGCACACAGTTGGTCTGCTTTTGACCAAAGCATCAGCAGGTGGTTCATGACTGTTTGTTGTCAAAAGAGTTGGAATGTCCAAAATTTCAAAAATAAAGACAGAGCCATGATCTATTTAGGGAATATTGGGACCTTGAGATCATGGTGAGCAGGCACAGAGGCAGAGTTCTGGGGTGGTGGTGGTGGTGGTGGTGGGTAGGGGGGTATATGTGGTCTCATACCTTAAGTAGTTCCCCAGCCTGTGGTTGTGTAGCCTTAACCTCTGAGGGTCTCAGCTTCACCAATGGACGATGTGGGAAATAACATAAGGTAGCGGCCGAGTCTGTGGTAGGATGGATGTATCATCAAGTACCTTACCTTCCTTACTCCTGGACAGCGCTTTGGCAGGTGTGGATCCCTGTGACTGTGAGGAGGGCCTGCCGTGTGGCTCCGGGCCTATGCTCTTGGTAGAAGCAGAAAGCTCACAGCTAGCAACATCTTCTCCAAGGAATTTCCTACAAAGGAACGGAAAGGCGAGTAAAGAGGTTTGTCGCTGAAGGCTACCGTCGAGAGGGGTCCCAGATGGGACCTGTAACACAGAGGGAGGATGCAGGGAGGGGCTTCAGTACTCAGGGGCCCTGGGCTGGCATTCATACATCTGCACTGACAGAAACCTGAACCTGGCCACTTGAAGCTAGGTATCCTCCAGTCTCATGGCCCCCTCCATAGCCCCTGGCTGTACAGTAGATGCTGTTTAGGATGTGAGGTTTGTTTCAGGCCTACCTTTCCTGAAGTTTGAGAATGTGTGTGTAGAAGTTTGTAGGCCAAGTGTGGCGTGTAAGGGAGATGATAAAGCAGAATGCACTTATAAGAGGCCATTAGGCAGACAAAATGCAGGGGTATTTCTGGGCTTGCAAGGTGGTTTACCTAGGAAGAAGTGTCTTGTTGGCTTGTGTGTGTGTGTGTATGCGTGAGTGCGTGTATGTGTATGTGCATGTGTGCGTGCGTGTTAGGATTGGAAAAATATGGAGGAGTTGAGGCCAGAGAGCAGCCACACTAACTTGCCCAGCGTTGAAGGCCAAGCTAATAGGACATACAGATAGGGGTGGCCCCTAAGGTCTATTTACACCTCCTGTGGATTTTTCATAGAAAACCTCTGCTGAGCTGAGATCAGTTCCAGAGGCCTACTCAATTGCTCGCTACCTTGTTTACTTGAGGCAGGGCCTCTCAGTGGACCTGGAACTCAGCAAATTTAGTTGACCAGCAAACTCCAGGGAACCTCCTGAGCACCTCACCCCCACCCCCAGTGCTGGGTTTAGAGGTACATGCCGCCATGCCTGGCTTTTGCATGAGTTCTGGGGTTCTGAACTCGGGTCCTGATGCTTGCACTTGGCTGACTGAAAATCTTCAGAGTCCTTGATTTTTTTTTTTTTTTGGTTTGTTTTTGCTTTTGAGATGGAGTCTTACTGGGTAGCTCATCACACTTCTGATGCTCCTCCCTCAGACTCCTAAGAACTGAGATTACAGGCGTGTGCCTCTATCCCTCTGTCCCAGCTCGTTTCGGGCTTTTGACACACGTGACGATTATGTACTGCTGTATAAATGCTAACCTCTGATGATGCGCCCAGTGAAAGCCAGCATGCTGCCCGCCTCCTAGACCACACTGCTAGGCCCCTGTTAAGATGGACAGCCCATTCATCTGTCTTGCTGAAACTTGTTTCTTTGAGGGGCACTGAGTGGGGTGGGGGATGGGCAGAGGCTGCAGAAGGCAGAGGGAAATTAGCTTCAAAGCCTGCAACCCATTTTTTTTCTTCCATGTTTGATTATTTTGGATATTTTTTTCCTCAGTTCTCCAGACCAGAGTTTATCCTGTTAGCTGGAGAGGCCCCGGTGACCCTACATTTGCCTGGATCCATCGTGGTAACTACTGCTTAGCCTGGGTGGGACAGGAGGGAATCGAGTCCAACAAATTTAAGACTGACTGCACTTTGGTTGGGATCTTTTCTGGGGATATCTTGGTAGTCTCCCTGCTCTATAGCCTTCTCCCATGAACCCCATGTCTCTCTACCTCTCTTCCTCCTATTTCTGCTCATGCTGCCTTCTCAAAGCTGTTTAAAGAGGATTGTTTTCCTTTCCATCCATGTCATCTTCTCCCATCTCTCCTGTCCCTCCGGATCCCAGCCAGGGTGTGGCCATGCTACCCCTGCCTCTCAGTCTCCCCTATGAGAGGAGCTCCTTTTGGCTTCTTCCCATTTAGCCTTCATCTCCTCACTCAGCACAAGTGCTGGGACTATCTCAGACTGGGTACTCTGCCAGGTCCCACTCTATGCGTTGGTGTACCAAGTTTTTTCCATGTGAAGCCTGTAGTCTGGCGGGAGGAGGAAAAGGGAGACAAATGCATAACAGAAAAGCATGCCAGGTATACTTTGTGCTTTAAAAAAATTGAGAAGACACATAAGGATGGGAGAGGGTAGAAGACAGTAGGTGAGGATGGGGGAAAAATTGCTCCTTTAGCCAGGGAAGCGGTTCTAAGGAGACAAGAAGGGAGGGGAAGAGGCATGGAGGATGGAGGATTTTAGGGAAAGGCTCTAGCAGAGGGAGGGCACTATATGGATGTGCTACCCAGCTCAGTCAAGTCCATGCCCTCCTGGCTCTTTCCCAGCCCGGAGCCATGAGCTTCTCAGCTAATGATGAGCATCTGGGAAGATGACCCTTCCCATTTTCCATACTCCTAGAGCCAAGATGCCGGTCTGACCAACCCTGTCTGGCAATGCGGTCTTTTGGCTCTTCGGTCTTTTGGAGGCAGGGCTGTGGGAAGCCTGGGATGGTGTCTTTCTTTTTCCAGATTCTTTTTGTCATCCCCATGCTTGTCTTCTCTGTAGCTCAGAGAATAAACACTAGGGCACTCGTCTGGCTCAGTCAGGGGTCCATGACTCATGGAGGAGCCTGAGGGAAAGCTGGGGAAACATATGTCTCCTACCTCCCCACGTTGCTGATCTCAGAGATTCTTCAGTGAGTGGGTCTGGGTTATTCCATTTACCAACTGTGCAATCCTGGAAAAGTTCCTCATTGTTTCTCTAAGCCTCAGTTTCTCATCTGCTAATAGGGAGCAAAACTATTCTCATAGGTAATTAGACAATTAAATGAACTAAGCCATGGGACACACTTAGCCTGGTGAACTTGCCCAAGTTGGGCTCACAGTCTCCTCTTAATTGTGAGCATTGATACTATTATTGTTTTCAGACCAAAAAAGGGAAATCCTACTTGGCTCTCAGAGACCTCTGTGTGGTCTTGCTGAGCGGACAGTGTCTGGAGGTGAAGTGTGACATGGAGTCCACAGCAGGGGCTGTCTTCAATGCTGTCGTGGCCTTCACCAACCTCGAGGAGACCACCTACTTTGGTTTGGCTTATGTGAAAGGTATGTGTTTCTTGGAGACACTGTTGACATGAACTCGTGGAAAACCAGGTACATGGATACCTGAACTCTGTTCCTCCTGAAAAGCTGCTTGATCCTAGGACACTTAACTTTGCTTACCTCAATACAAATTAGCCCAGAGAGTACTTTGAATCCCTTGTGGAAAGCATCAAGTGAGCACAGCTTGTCATGAGAGAAGGCTTGCCAGGTATGATCAGTAAATAGCAATCTAAAGTTAGACAAACAAACATTAAAAACATTTGTAAATTATCTGGGGTGCTGCTGGCATTTTACACATTGGCCCCAAAAAACCCAAGTGATTCTTTCCTATTCAAAACACTTTATTTAAAAAATTTTTAATTAGAATTAAAGTTATATCACTTTCCCCTTCCTATTCTTCCCTCTAAACCCCTCCCACGCCCATCTCTCAAACTCATGACCTTTTATTCATTAATTATTATTGTTACATGCATATATGTCAAGGATGACACTTGGTATTGGATAACTAATTAAAGAGCTCATCTCTAGGGAAAACTAATTCTCCCTTCTCTCTCAACAGTCATTGTTGCCTTTCATCCAGGTTTAGAGCCCCATGAGATTTTCTCTATTCACGCTGGCATGCCAATTGACTTTGCACTATTTGAATCTTGTTTAGTTAGCCATATTGTTGGGATTACATGGGTGTGGCTTTCTTGCCATACCCAAAAGACACAGTCTTACAGCAGACTCCTTGGTCTTTGGGCTCCCACAATCCTTTCACTCCCCCTCTCGCTGTGTGGCGCTTTAGGTGGAGGGATTGCATTATAGACATACCATTTGGGGTTGGGTGCCCCATGGTTGGCTGTTCTCTGCCTTTTGACCAGTGGTAGCTTTCCGTAAAGGTCTCTGTCTTCTGTAAAAGAAACGCCTTTGATGAGAGGTTGAGAGCTACATTTTCTGACTGGGCAGCCACAGAAAACACTGCATTTTATTTATTTGAAATGAAAAATCCAAGGAAAAGCCAGGGCTAGGGAGACAGCTCAACTGGTAAAGGGCTTGTAGCAAGAGGACTCGAGTTTGATTCCCAGGACTCGTGTACAAAGGAAATCAAAGTGTGATGGTGTGTCATTGTAATCCCAGTGCTAGGGAGGCAGGGACAGACAGATGCCTGGGGCCTGCTGGCATGCCAATAGAACCTACTCAGGGACTTACAGGATACCTAGAGTCCCTGTCTCAATACAAATGGTAGCTGACGTTTGAGTAATGGCATTCAAGATTGTCCTCTGGGCTCCACAGGCACATACATACAAAAGCTCCCACAGGTACACAAGCATGCGCGTAGGTAAGTACAACCTTTACCCTCCAATCAAGGGCTCTCATGGGGATGATTCCTGGATTTCCAGAGCTGCTTAGGAAGGGACCTCATGGAGAAATCATCGATCTGGATAGAGACCATCTTGGGAGGGTTTGCTAGCCAGACTGTGTTGGGAATCCATCTACCTCTTGGAGAGAATCTGTCTTAAGGGAAAGTGAATATGGTGTGGAGAGCCAAATCCAGCAGCAACGGTGGAGGGCTGGGGATGATGGTCATTATTCTATCGTACCTGGATATCTACCCGCCTCTCCACACATACCTCCCAGGCACCAGAAGCTGGCTGCTAATGTAAAAGCCCCACCTTCTTACTGTCGTGGGAGCCCACCCTAGATAAGCCATAGTCATACACTCTGAGGTTGGAGGGTGGCACACAGGAGTAGACAATGTGGGATATAGTCAGAGAGGGGCAGACCTGCAGAAATCCTGGGAGTGGTCTATGATGCTAAGTCTGGCTGAGAACAAGATTAAGGGAGGGGAGCGACAGGGACAGTGTATCCAGTAGTTCTGACTGAGGAATGGGGACAGTATATGTGGGGGTTCCGACTGACCTAACCTTCATCTAGATGGGCTGCAGGATCAACTCTGCCGGAGCTGAAGACCCGAGCTTGCAAATAAGATAGTGCTTATTGCTGACTTGATCAGTTTGGGCTGTTGCACCAAAGTACTATACTATATCGTAGCCGGGGCAGTGGCAGAAAGGCCTGTACATATTTAATATATATATAAAATAAATATTCCTGTGTGGTTAGTTGAGTCTTCAGACACAGACTATGCATATGGAGGGCAGTTGTGATTGTTTCTTCTTGATCGTTTTCCTTTGACTCCTCTCAGCTCCTATGACCTATGCAAGAGTCCTCTGCTACCAGATACTGAAGGGACCATCTGCTCTCTCCTGCACCAATGCAGCTTAGGCCCTACCCCTCTGCAAAGAGCTCAAGGGATGAGTCTGCGGGCTGGTGGGGCACACTCTCTCGATTCTTCCGCCAAACTATTTCCATCTCAGGTGAAGAGTTCTTTTTCCTGGACAAGGACACCAGACTGTGCAAAGTTGCCCCAGAAGGCTGGAGAGAACAGTACCAGAAAGGTTCCACGGACACTTTAACGCTCTTCCTGCGGATAAAGTTCTTTGTCAGCCGCTATGGGCTGCTTCAGTGAGTGCTCCAGTCTGTTCCTAGGATCATTAAAGGGTCTATAACTGTCCAGGCTGACATTCCAGGCAGTGGATAGATAGAGGCGTGGGGAATGGTAGATTGCATGGAAAGGTCAATTTTGGTCCATGGGGTTCGGATGCAATAGAATCAAGAGGAAAACTAGTCTTTTAGAGGCAGGCCCTGATCGAAATGAGAAATTGTTCCCTGGGTTCCAAACACAGTCCATTCAGTAGCAAGTTCTCTTTTCCCTAAATGCCTGCCATGTTCAGCTCCACGGCTCAGGGGTAAGAGTTCCAGGAGAGAGCGTTGGCTTTGAAGTCAGCTCACCCTTTCTGTTTTCTGTTGTTTTCAAGAGACACTATCTAACTGAATATCAGTTTTTTTTTTTTTTTGCCTTGTGCTGCATCCTTATGGCTGTTGGAATATCTGGTGTAGAGAAGCCCTCATCAGGGGGAGGGGCATGGTGTTGGAGGAGGAGCCCACACTAGTCTCTCTGGGTTCTGCTGGGTTGTACCTGTTTTCCCAGATGGAGCGGTCCTCCAGTGTGGCACTCTCCTGACTCTCAAGCTGTCTTTTCCCCTGTGTTTCTTTGCTAGGCACAGCCGGACAAGGCATCAGTTTTACTTGCAGCTTCGGAAAGATGTTTTAGAAGAGAGGCTGTATTGCAATGACGAGACACTACTGCAACTGGGGGTCCTTGCCCTGCAGGCTGAGTTTGGCAGTTATCCTAAGGAGGTAGGGGTGATATTTGGGGCCACTGGAAAGAGGACTGTGGGAGGAGGAGGCTGTTAGGAAGAGAGAGGCTTTGCTTTTGAGAAGTGTTGTTAACATCTATCATTGAGATTGGGGTAAATTATGTTCATCCATCCATCCATATATCTATCCATATATCCATCCATCCATCCATATATCCATCCATCCATCCATCATTTATCCACCCATCTACCCACCCATTTGCTTATCAGATAAGCATTCATTGGATACTTTTCCTGTGTTCTGGGCTATATAAGGATAAACATACAAGTTCATACACTGTAATGTAGTTATATCCCTCTATATAGCAGTCAGTTTGTGCTACTGCAATGAAATACCCCAAACAGTTAACTTACAAAGAGAAAAGGTTGTAGGTTTAGAAGCTCAAAGTCCAAGGTTGGGCCACCCCATAGGTTCTGGGTAGCAGTACCTCATAGTGGGAACACATGCTGGGGGGACTCCATGATGATAAATAGGAATTCAGAGGCAGAGAGACTGAGATCCCATGGCCCCTTCTGAAGGAAAGCCTCCAATGGTTTAAGGCTCCCATCAGTTCCTTGTCCACGAAAGCGCTGCTATTTCTCATAACACCATGCTTGTGAAAGTCCCACCATTTCCCATAACACTATGCTTGAGATCAAGACTACCTACATTGTATCCTTGAGGGACCACTCAGACAAGAGCCAAGCCAGAGTAATGTACACACTTGTTGAGTTTTTATCACCACTATCACCAATACTAATAGCTAATCTTTATTAAGAGACTGCTGGGCGATAGTGGCATACACCATTAATCCCAGCGCTTGGGGGTCAGAGGCAGGTGGATCTCTGTCATTTAAAAGCCAACCTGGTCTACAGAGTGAGTTCCAGGAAAACTGAAAGAAACTCTGTCTCGAAAAACCAGAGAGAGAGAGAGAGAGAGAGAGAGAGAGAGAGAGAGAGAGAGAGAGAGAGAACCTTATCTGCCATTGACCTCAACATCTAACTCACACAAACATTGCAAAGTTAACATCACATATTCTAGAGAGACAATCCCTTTATGGATTTGGGTAAGTGAGATTGTAGGGGAGATCTGGGGTGAGTTGGGAGAGGGAAAACAGTAATCATAATATATTGTATAAAAATACCTATCTTCAATAAAAAGATGTCAATAAACTATTTTTTCAGGGCAGTTTTAGCTTTATAGTAAGATTAAGTGGGAGGAGATACAGAGATTTCTTGCTCCCTATTTATAGTCCCTCCCCCAACAAAAAAAAACCAATGTAACCTTCCTGCTATGTTTGTTACAATCAGTCAGCCTGGGCTGACATGTCTAGAATCCACAGCTGTGCTTGGTTTCTGCGCTGGGCACTTAAGACAGCATTAGGGGAGTGCACTTAGACTTCCATTGCTGTAACAGAGTACCCGCGGCCATCAATGTATAGGAGGAAAGATCTGCTTGGCTCACCGTTTCAGAGGTTTCATGGTCTTTGGCTCTGTCACCCTGAGATGTGGGGACCCAGTAAATCATGAGAGAAGGGAAGGTGAAGGCTGTTCACCTCAAGGCAAACAGGAGAGGAGATTGGGGTCCCAGAATCTCAGGGTGTGCCTTGGCGGCTCAATTTCTCTCACATGACTACCTCTTCGAGATCCTGTTTCCTTCTAATAGTACCCAGTGCTCAGAAATCACATGGCCTTCAGGGGACATTGAACATTCTACTGCAACAGAGCCCCTCTCTGTCATCAGTGGGCAGGAGGAAGAGGCTCCAGGCTTCCCATGAGGTGACGAGGCTGACTAGGTGGAACCTGCCACACTTGGAAGGACTTAGTATGTCTTGCTAGGGGGCTTACACTTTGTTTGAAAAGAGCTTCTGGTGGCGGGGAAAGAATTGGAAACCTCTGCCATGAAAGATGGGAGCCCCTATAGAATTCTATGCGAGGAAGTAACGTGATTACATTTGCATTTTAAAGAGGGAGACAAAGGCAATTTAGTATAAAAATAAATCTCCTTAATCACACCATCACAGCAGGCCAGCATTCCATGGGCACACACTCTTCCAGCAGATCACATGTCAGGGTTTTATACAGCTCTAGACATTGCTGCACTCCATCTGCGCTCTCTCTCTCGTCATGTGTGTGGCCTTCCCGAGGCTGCCGTGGGGCTGGAGTGCTTGCATGTTACAGTTCCATGGGCTGGGACTTCCTTCACGCATCCCATGCCCTCTGTTGGCATTCCCCTGAGAGTGCCACGTAAGTGATAACTGTGATGACTGTCACACTAGCTGCATCTGAGCATCCCTTTTATAAATGCCAAGTATATAGACACTTGTGCCTAGGACGTTCTAGGTCCATGCTGACTTCTTAGGTGTGTTCTTAGCAAGAAATGCTGGGATAAAGACCCTATGTGCCCTTTTCCCTCCCTAAATGTTTCAATAAACTATTTTTTTTTGTGACACCCATTGGTCACCTTTCTGTCACTGTGACAGAACACCAGAGATAATCCATGTAAAGGAGGAAAGCTTTATTTTGGCTTCCTGGGTTTAGGCCCACGTTTGCAGGCTCCCCCACTGTAGGTAGGGCGAGTTGAGGCAGCAAACACCAGGGGTTGAACAGAACAAAACTCGTGGTAAGTCATGGTAGTTGGGAAGCAAAACTGCAGAAAGAGGAGAAGGGGCTTGGTTCCCAGCAGCAAACTTAAGGTAAAACTTCAAGGATCTCCCTCCTTTCCACTGGGTCCCATTGCCGAAGGGTTCTCCAAATGGTGCCACTTGCTCGTGACAGCCTTTAGCATATGAACCCTCGAGGGACTTAAGATCCAAACCATAACAGAACGTCCAGGTTTACAGCGAAGCTGAATGTCCGGTAGGAAGGTAGTGAGATTCACTGTGTCAAATCTAACCTTGGAGTCTCCCCTAGTGAACAATCTAATCTTGTACCAGAAGGCACATTTGTTACTGTCGATGAACCGATGCTGGCAGGTTGTCATCACCAGAGTGCCTGGTCAACTTGGGGGCTCTCTCCTGGTGTCATTTAGTTTATGCATTTTGACAAACGTACAATGGCTCGAATCACTATCATATTGTCACACAGAGCAGTCTCATTGCTCTGGAAATCACCAGTGTTCCCCTTATTAGTGCTCTACCTGTCTGTCCCCCGACAACCACTCATCACTACCATATCTGTAGCAGGGATCTCATAGTTGGAGACATTATGCAACCTTCCATATAGGTTTAAGTCACTCAGTAACATACATTTAAGCACCTTCACATCTTTTCTTTGGCAGCTCATTTAGTTTTTGGTGCTGACTAGGAAGCCCTTGCCCAGATGGGCCATTGTGTCTTCACTCACTCCCTGGGTAGTTTTTGCTCCCAAGGTCTGGCCATTGTGAATAAAGCTGCTGTTAACAACCATGTACAGTAATTTAGTTGTTTGCAATGTCACTAACCCAGGGCCTCCTACATGCTAGGAAGGCACTCTTCCCCTGAGCCTCATTCTCGGCTCCATGGTAGGCTTTCCTGTGGATACAGGTCTCCATGTCTTTGTGGGTTGACTGCCAGGGCCTGAGAGGCTGTTTAATTTTGTAAGAAGTTGGCTAACTGTTTTCCAAAGTGGCTGTATCATTTTCTACTCCCACCCACAATGAACGTGAGTTCCTGTTGCTTCTGTTTCAAAAAGTGCTTGGCGTTGTTGTCAGTATTCTGAATTTTGGCTGATCTAACATTTTTTTTAATGCACTAGATTGCTGAGATCTGAACCCTGACTCAGCCCGAGTCACCTGGAGAATTTGGGGATTCTCAGTCTACGGTGACACTTAGATAGTCCTGTGCTACAACATGAATGTGAGGTGTAGTGGTGTGTGCCCTTCTGAACCCCAGCAGACTGATTCACCTACCCTCTGAATAGAGGTCAGATTCACCCAGCCCTCAGCTGGCTTCTTCAGGATAACTGCCATCAAAGCTGGGGACAATGATTTGTCCGAGGATCAGTGTAGTATTTTCTCATTGGAACCACCAGCCACAAATAATGGCACAGAGACTTAGCTTAGGCTTGTTTTCAACTAGCTCTTACAACTTAATTAACCCATGTTTTTAAATGTAAGTTCTGCCACGTGGTTCTTTATCTTTCCTCAGTACTGCAAATCTGACTTGCCCTTAGTCTTCTGGCAAAATCCACCTGTGTAGATTTCTCCTCCGAGTTTCTCTCTCTGCCAGGAAGTCCTGCCTATCCTCTCCTGCCTAGCTATTGGCTATTCAGCTTTTTATTAAGCCAATCAGAAGGTGCCTTAGGCAGATACACATCTTTACAGTCTAAGAAAGTTTATTCCACAACAGGGTAGACTGGCAGGGGTGCCTCAAGATCAGGACAGACTGAATCAAATACAGATGTAGGCTAAGCTCCCCCCTCACCAGCCTGTCTCCCCTCCCCCAGACACCGTCCTGCCTTCTCCCCCCAACACCATCCTGCCTTCCTCATTTGTTGTAGGGGACCTGGAGTTTGTACCTTCATGAGCTTCACCATACTGTGTTTGTCCCCAAGCCTGTGTGGAGGGAACCCAGTACAGGCGGCACTGATCCTCCAGCCTCTCCCAAGGGGCTGCGGCCTCAGCTTCCTAAGTAGCAGACTGAGTGAAGGTTGAGGTCTTGGTGGGGAGAAGGGATCTGGTCTCCTCAGACATGATCCTCTAGAGGAATGATGTCATATCTGAGACTTCCTTGTTGTTTGGCTCCACTTCTAATACAGAACATAGCACTATGCTCCCAATGGGACCCAGGACAAGGATATTCCCTTGAGGCATGGTTCCACGCACATTTCTATTCAGAACTGGCTGGAAGGCTTCCTGGATAAATTCTTTTCTCGGCATGTTGTTCCTCGCAGGTAGAGAATAAAGCATATTTCCGAATTCAAGATTACATCCCAGCAAGACTTATTGAGCGGATGACAGCGATCCGGGCCCAAGTCGAAATCTCTGAGATGCACCGGCTCAGTTCCACACCTTGGGGAGAAGATGCTGAGCTGAAGTTCTTAGAGGTGAGGCCTTTGGGATCCCGAAAGAGGTGTCAGGGCCCAGGAACTGTAGTCAGTGGTTCTCTCTGCAGCCACATCTAGAGACCAGAAGGGATTAAAGTTACAGGGAGGTATTGGCAAGGGTTTAACCCACAAAAGGAAGAATTTTTCATCACCCTGGGCAACAAGGAGAGGCTTTTGGTAATACGTGACATTAGAAATGACCCCTCAAAGGGATAGGATCTATTGGCCTAGGCTGGGTGTCACAGGGCCTTGCTTTGGCCTTAGAGAGACATCTGTGATACTTTCCTGTGAGCAGGGAGACCTCATAGATGATACAGAGATGAACTGAGGCAGAGAACTGGGCTACAAGCTGGGCAGGGCTGTCAGGAGACTCCTTGTGTGTAGCCTTCTGAGCAGCTGTCAGCGCAACCGTGTTTGTGCAGCGGTTAGCGCAACTGTGTAGTGAGCAACTGTCAGCACAGCTGTGTGGGGTGTGGCTGTTGGCGTAGCTGTGTGGGGTGCAGCTGTCAGCCCAACTGTGTAGGGTGCGGTTGTCAGCGCAGTTGTGTGGGGTATGGGGCTGTCAGCCCAGCTGTGTGGAGTGTAGCTGTCAGCACAGCTGTGTAGGATGTGGCTGTCAGTGAAGCTGTGTAGGGTGCAGCTGTCAGTGCAGCTGTGTAGGGTGCGGCTGTCAACCCAGCTGTGTGGGGTGTGGCTGTTAGTGCAGCTGTGTAGGGTGTGGTTGTCAGCTCAGCTGTGTGGGGTGCAGCTGTCAGGCCAGCTGTGTAGGGTGTAGCTGTCAGTGCAGCTGTGTAGGTGTAGGGTGAGGTTGTCAATGCAGCTGTGTAGGGTGTGGCTATCAGCGCAGCTGTGTAGGGTGCGGCTGTTAGCGCAGCTGTGTAGGGTGTGGTTGTCAGCACAGCTGTGTGGGGTGCAGCTGTCAGGCCAGCTGTGTAGGGTGTAGCTGTCAGTGCAGCTGTGTAGGTGTAGGGTGAGGTTGTCAATGCAGTTGTGTTGGGTGTGGTTCCCTTCTGTTCTCTCTTTTTTCCTCACCTCAAAGCAGCAACATTTCAGTCTCACACACCAAGAGCACCCCGGTGATGGATGTTTTACTTTTGCTTCATTACCTTCCCTCACTGTCGGCCAAATGCTGTGGGGAATGGAGACAAGGAGCATATGCTCCCTATCCTTGGTGGGTCCCAGGTCTCGAATGACAACTGTTTATCTAGAGGTGGGCACACTGAGAGAGATGCTCAGAGAGAACGGGACCAATGCCAGTGACTGGTGGGAGGAGGCAAGAGCAGCCTGCTTACAGGGGTATGAGCAAGGTGTGTGCGACGGGGAGGATTTTCTAGAAATGGTTCGTGCGGCTGGACCTTCGGACTTGGGGAACAGTTTCCATAGGACACATGGGAATACACGTTTCTGTGTAGCTAAGCCTCCTAGGTAGAGTCAAAATATTCTGTCCATGTGTTTTTTTGTTTGTTTGTTTTTGCTTTTAAGGAGATAAGTACTTTCCAGACAAACTGGAAAAGCCAGTTTTTTTTTCTTTTTGGCCAATCATCCAGGAAAATGATCCCCAACACCCAGCATGGGGGCAACCTGTGGCCATTTCCTTGTCTGAGTCTCACCAGCATCGCTCACTGAATTCTGCAGTCCACGCTCACGCACGCTCCCTGCCAAGAACGTTCCCTTGGCGAGGGACGCAGGGAGAGCTCAGGTTGTTGGGTGGTAAATGGCATGGACTAGAGAACTGGGTTGAGATATAGGACTTCACCCTGCTGATCACAACTGTGATGAACGCTGCCTTCGGCCTGTCCCGTGCCCAGCTTTATGTGCTGGGCTCTGTCGTGTTCCTCCCCCCACTGGCAGAACTATGAAAAAGTGACTACAAAAATATCTCCCATCTTAGAAGAAAAAAAGCAAAAGACTATTTCTTTTCTTCCTGTCTTTCACAAAAAGCATTGGGCAGATTTTGTTTCATTTGCCCGCAGTGGGCATTCATGTCGAGACTCACTCTGCCTCCTACCCTTCTCTTTGGTGGCATTCTCTCACTGACTAATGCTGCAGGCTGCCTGTTCTTGGTACAGAGAGCTGAAGACAGAGTAAGATTTGCACCCCCAGAACACTCTGGGAGCATCCGTGTCACTGAGTGAGTCTTTTTCCTTCCAAAATATGGAAAAAAAATTTCTCCACCATGCTGCCTCAGAGAGTGAGCACACTTACATTTTGATATATTCATCCTTCTATCTGTATTTATATATGTATATGCACATACATTTACAAGTGGGCATATATTATATAAGTACTTCTGTGTATTCATATAATCCTGCATTGTGAAAAATTTGAAAACTTACTTTGAATCAATACACACTCCTCTTCAACACTATATTCTTTGCCGTACAAATAGTCCCAAAATACAATACTATATTTAGTATTTTTCTGTGTCCATCATTGGCTGTATTTATCTTTCATTTATTAGAGGTGAGAATCTCATGAGAGGAGTCACATAGGTGGGTATCAATGTGGAGATCAACCACTGATGCCACATATTGTTGAGGCATCTTGAATTCCACTTATCTCTGGACATTCATTGTCCCTTTAACCAGGATGTCAATGCCAGGGCCCTGGCTTCACAGAGCCCACTGCAAAGCCATTATACCCCAAATAATCACTAGGTATTTAATTATAACTCCTCTAGGCTCTTCTTTTTCATAAAAAGAGGGAACCATTCCCAGGTGGCTGCCTGCTGGCTTGGTTTACGGATGCTGTGCTCTGCCAATTCCTTTCCTCGCGCTGGCAGCAGACTTGGCAACAGTCCAGTGTGGGCACCACTGAGCACCGCCCTTCTTCTGGAGGAGTCACAGCTGTGTGAGTGTGTGAATCCCTGAAGAACCTCTTCCAAGTTAGCTCACTGTTGTCCAGACATCCTCAATGCTACACCTGTTCCCACTCAATTAGGGATTGGGATGTGATAGGAAAGCAGTTCCAGTTGCCTGTTGGAATCATATTGGTTAAATTCTGTATTTTTTTCTCTCCTTAGCATTCTAATGAATGCATTCCCTGGGTGTTGCGAGCATTTTGTCCTGCGCTTCCTTACCCTATCCCTGCAAGTCTGCACCAAATTAGGAAAAACATTTGTCTTGTTATGCAGCATGTTCTCCTGGAGCACAGTCTCAGAAATGGGGCTGCAGGGGCCAAAGCACACAGATCGCTGTGAAGTGGGAAGAACAATCCGCTTGTGGCCCACAGTTCTCAGTGCAGCAAGGGAAAGTCAGGAATGAGGCTCCAGTTTCACTTTGCTATCTGCTGCTGGGAGAACAGGAATCCAAAGGCATCGTGGAGGACAGGAGACAGATAACATTATTTCACTTTTAGCAGATTGAGATGCCCCAGAGGACATTACGCCTATTTGTCTACATCCCCAGTCTTCAGGGACACTCTGAATTTTAGCTGTCGAGAGCAAATTCTCAGAATCAAACTGGCTCCTCTACTGAGATTCCCGTTCCTGCCTCCAAGGAATGCAGGCAGGTTACTTAATCAGTTGAATGATCTGTCTTTCACATATAAGAGAATTTATTTCCAAAATATTTTTCTAAGTTTGCCGACTCAAAAGTTTGAACATCATATTCAATAATAGAAAACTGTTCTGATATATGTAGTAAAAAGAAACTGAAAGTATTGCTTGCAAATTGAACCAACTAAGTATAGCCATGCAGACTCTGAAGTACTACCACAAATGGCTCTCATAGCCCTGTACCTTGTTTTGTATTTTTCCAACAGGGCTTGTATTTTAGGCATTTACATCAAGAGGGACAGAGAACAGAAGCTGGCAGCGCATGGGTAAACCGAGCATATTGGAAACAAGGGAAGGCTGAATGCCCTCAGCAGCCACAGCTGGTGGAGCTGTGTGAATGTGAATGATGAACTTTAAAACAGACAACGAAGCCTGGGCAGAGCAGCCAATGATAAAGTCCAAATACCCCATAGCTGTCTAGTGGAGAACAGTTCTGCTCTCCACCCGAGCACGGTCCTGATGTTGCTTGGCTGTGTGGCCGAACAGGACTTGTCAACTGGCAAGGAATGAGAGGGAGCATGGAGACTCTTCAGGGACTGTGGTTATTGGGTCTATGCTTTGTGAAAGCGATTAAAGATTTAAGATACAGGAAAGGATGGAATTTATGATTTCAACAGTGGTTTTCTTTGTGTTTGTTATGTTATTTTTGAGTCTCTCTGGGGCCTGGGCAAGCAGGCCAGTGATCCTCCTCCTCTGCATCCCCAGTGCTTGTATTACAAGCACCCACCACGCCCAGCTTCTTACATAGCTGGAGATGAAACTCAGGTCTAAGCCGTATTTGTCATTTCCTTAGGCTGGAAAAGCAGAAGAAACACATGTCCGTTAAGATGCTGGATTTTGTGAAAAACACAAACAAGGTTTCTTTTCAGTTGAATAATTTGAAGAACTTGACCTGCATAGACAAAAACAACAACAAAAAGTTTAATCCACCTGAGGTCAACTGACCTTTCCGTGGCTCTGCTTTCTCCTTTGGAAAAAGACAGCTACACCTTTGTGTTATGATTGTGATGAAAGCTAAACTAAATGCTAATGAAACAATGCCTGCCTGTGCTTGGCAGCATGTGTTATCAGTACTCAAGTATTATAACCCTTTCAGAATAATTAAAAAACAAAAATAAAACATTAATGCTAAGCAGTTTAAAAAGGTTTAAAAGGCATTTTATTTTCCTGGTAATTTTTTTTTATTGAGACAGGGTTTCTCTGTAGTCCCTCCCTCCCTCTCTTCCTTCCTCCTTTCCTTCCTTCCTTCCTTCCTTCCTTCCTTCCTTCCTTCCTTCCTTCCTTCCTTCCTTCCTTCCTTCTTTTTGGAGCCTGTCTTGGAACTAGCTCTTGTAGACCCGGCTAGCCTCAAACTCACAGAGATCCACCTGCCTCTGGCTCCTGAGTGCTGTGGTTAAAGGCGTGCGCCACCACCGCCCAGCTTCCTGGTGACTTTCTATTTCAGTGCTTTACAGCAATGCTCATTCAGTTCCTTAACAGTGTACCACACCGCCTTGGACAGCCTCTCTTTGTCATACTTTAATCAGTCCTGCTGAGCCATGGGTATTTCAATACAAATGCTCCAGCATTTTTATAGGGTGACAGTGCTGACTGTGATGATAGTGATGCTAACAATGACGGCAGTGTCTCTTCTAAGCTAAAAGCAGGAGGCTCAGCATCCAGACATCTGATCACAATCTCACAGAGAGACAGGGCATTTGCAGGCTCAGTGATGACTCATCAACAGGAGTGAGGTCAGCAATGAACTTAACGAATGATTAGTAAAATTTCTAACTGGTCTCTCTCTATGACCATGCCTGGAGATGAGGAAGATCGCATAGACAGGACATGGAAGTGTGCTGAGGATAGAGATACCGCACCAGACTCACCAGAGAAGCCCTTCAGAGAGGCTCTTTGATGTTTGGAGCAAGAAACCCTCTCTGCAGCTCCATCTGCATCAACCTTCTGATGAGGCCTTCTTGACCATGTGATGACTGTTCAGACGATCAAACATTTGTATTGAGTTCATGACTAAAATTCTCTTGAGAATTCAATTGACCTGATATAGATACCAACTTTAATTGACCCTGGGCCTCTTACAGAAATCAATCCCCAAGCTTGGTAAACTGAGGCAAGAGATGGGGCTGTGGGGATCCTACAGAGGCATTGCTGAGTGGAAAGACAGGCTGGAGTGACAGGCATTTCCCATGAAAATTGTTCTTGGCTCAGCCTCAGCTTTTGAAATTAGAACATGAAAAGATGGGACCAGATGACTGGCACAATTGGGGATGTCCCAAGAGGGCCTGAATCATAAGAAACACTTGTTCCCCATCTTTTTTTATCCTAGTGTGTCCTTTATTTATAAAAACCTGCCTGGGCCTTGTAGGTAAATGCAAAACTATGTCAATTCAAAAATTAAACACTCTGTTTTAAACTGTGGAAGACAGCAAATAAAAGCATGGTGCACTGAAAAAAAATGTACCCCAAATATTCTTTTAGGCACCCTACAAGTAGAAGTTTAATTAGGTTAGGAAAGAAAGAAAGAAAGAAAGAAAGAAAGAAAGAAAGAAAGAATAATTTAACATATCAAAAGTGTAGATGTTCCAGAGCAAGTAAAACTGTCTTTCTGGATATTTCTTCATCTTGTTTGCCAACAATGAACCTTTTCCACAGAAGGGGCTGAGGGTCATGATTTTGAACCATTCAACTCGTGGGTCCTAAGATGGCCTTTTCCTCCCTCCAGGTTGTTCAGCAACTCCCAGAATATGGAGTCCTGGTTCATAGAGTTTTCCCAGAGAAGAAGAGACCAGATGGAGAAATGGCCTTGGGGGTCTGTGCCAAAGGTATCACAGTCTACGAGGTGAAAAACAGGCGCAGAATCGCCACATCACGGTTTCCATGGAGAGAAACAGGGATGATTTCAACTCATGTGAGTGAACTCAGCTGCTAGCCACCCATGTCTCCCTTTCCTTTGATCTGTGGCCCTCTTCAGTGGCAGTGGCTATGTGGATCCGTCTTGACATAGTCATATACAGCCTACCATCCCTTAGTCTGTATTCTGGTACATTGTACATTGACATATTTGGGAGGACCAAATAGACCAAATACTTCAGGGGGTGGGGTTAGGGTAATCCGCAGGAAACCCCTCTTTTTTCATGTTCTATTGCCAGCTTTCTAACAATACTCCATAAACAGCCCATAGCCTACATATTTCTCCACCCCTTCTCCATAACCTTCTGTCTGAGCCCATCTGTGGCCAAAGCAAGGACAAGTGGGATCCAGAGGAATAGAATGGAGTGAAGGTTGAGTAGTGTCTGCCAGGCTTTGAAACATCTGCCTAGGGAGGATTGTGTCTCCTCAGCACATGCAGGCACCTGGTGTGTCTTGGGTGGACTGCAGGTCCCCTGGCAGACAATGTCGAATGACCATTGAAAAATTAAAATGTGTAACCCCCTCTGAACAGCCAACTCGCTTTATTTCAAATCATATTAAAAGCCTTTTTCCTGTCCAGTCCCCAAACTTAGTTTCTATCAGCTTGGCACTGGGATCTGGTAGCTGACTATTCCTGCCGGTCTCAGGGTTGTCCAGGTCAGTATTTATGTTTTACTGAAGATTTCTCTTAATACAAAGTTCTTTGCCTTTTGGCTCATACACTTTTCAGTTTTTTCCTATTTACTTTTCTCCTATTTAAATTTTTCTACTAGTTAGATCATTATTTTTTATTATCTGACATTAGCATTTCCTAGGTAAAACAGTTGCTTTTATTCAATTTTTGAATGTTTCTTTTATGGACTTTTATCTTGATTTTTGAAATTAACATTGTCAATGTATGATATATAATAGAATCATCTATACTAAATGCAGTAGTAATTTTGAAACATGAAAAATTTTGAGTTTATAAAGTTCAACAGTCCCCATAAATTTATTTATACACACACACACACAACTATATATTTAATTTTAGAGGTATTTGTTTTCTCATTTCCAGGCCAAAAAATAAAAATAAACATAATAAAAAAAATCTGGGAAGCCATCAAGTTCACAAGCTCAAGACAATTGTCTATGTAGTATCCCCAGACCCTGATGCTCCACTTTGCCTTTGGCATGATGGATGTCTTGCTGGGAAATCACCCCGTGCAGGAATTCACCAGCTGCTCTGACCAGTTAAGCATCTTCCTCAGAAAATGACTCTTAGATTCTTTGTGCTTCTGCGAGTAGTGAACGAGCTCTGCGGACACTGAGATCAGTTTAGGAAGCTAGCTTCCTGTTTTGTTTGCTAATAGCTGGAGCCAAGATACTTCAATCACACCTCATTCTTCTTTTCCCCCTGCAGAGAAGCAGCCCTGGAATAAGGATGCTGTTTTCAAGGAGTGCCATCCCTGGCTGCCTTGGCTTCTGTGTATACTTGATTATTCAATCAAAAGCCATTCTATCTAGAACAAGGAGCCTAATGGTGCTGTTAACGCTGGGGTTTTCAAGCGTTAGTTCTAATATATGGAGATCAATGCTCAGAACGGAACAGACTATACAGGACTGCACATGGCCCCCTTTAAGCAAAAGATACAAAATGGCAAATAGAAGTTACCTCATGGAAGGGAATGTTGTTTAGAATAAGAAAATGAACCTCAGAAGTTGAATATTTTTAAAAATGAGTGAGAGGACATTCTTTCCAAACAGTGCAGATGCCAGAGAACCACTCCGCTCATGAACTTCCCGGTAAAGCTTGTAACTCTCTCTTTCCAGATTTAGGGTGGCGTGTTCTTTTCTTAATATTTCACATGACAGCGTTTTATAATGTCATTTTATCTAGAGAGAATAGAAATACAGTTCAACATATCTTTACGTATGGCTGCGGTAGACTAGGTAGAGCAGGCAGCTTGCACAGAGAAACACTTGCTCCTTGTGGGTTGTTACATGTTTCTGTGCTGCAGACGCAGGGATTATTTGTGTGTTGGGGAGGGGTGGTTTCCTGGAGATGATACTAAGGCCGAATACTTGGTAGGCTGGTGTTCTTCCCCTGAACTGGATCCCAGTCCCAAGTGCTAGCAATCTAACAAGAGCATCTTACTTGATTTCTAGTACAAATTCCTGTGGCCTGATTGGGTGTTTTCAAGAGCTGAATTTTAGTTTTCAATTTCTGTTGACTGTGAAAGTCTGCCTCAGTGCGGTCACTGGCTCTGTACATTTCTGCCCCCCTCCTAAGAGCTCAATATCATAGCACAAGGTTAGTTTCAAGTGTTCACTGGTCCTTGCTCCGAGACCTGCGTGTTTTGGCCTGATGGGAATGAATTCTGAGATGCCTGACGGCAAAGTGGCCTTTGTAAAAGATAACTGCAAGTGGCGTGGACAGATGGCACCGGCTCTAAAGCCGCTTCCCCTCATTCCATTCTGATTTTCCTTAGAGGGGTCTGCTCCAAAGTGCCCAGCACTGCCCAGTGGGAGGGTCAAATTAGGAAGGAGAGTGTGCTTTTCTCCTCTCACTACTTATAAAATATAATACTTATAAAATACTTATAAAATATAGATAAATGCAGAAGTTTTATTCTGGCTCAGAGTTGCATATGGCTGCTTAGAGCTAGTGGTGAGGTAGCACACTCTGGCAGGAGAGCTGGGTGGGATGAAACCACTTACATCATGGCCGGAGAGCAAATAAATCAAGAGAGACTGGGGGAGGGGTCCTAGTGTCATCTTCAAGTGCATGCCCTATATGACCTAACTTCCTTCCATGTGGCCCCACCCCTAAAGACCCACCTCCCAATTGTGCCCCTCTGGGGACCAAGCTTTTACTTAGCAATGCACCTTCGATGGCTGTTTAAGATCCTGATCAGAGCAGAGGGGGGAGGTCGAAGGAGAAAGGAGGGTCAATGGTCTTAACCAACTATGGTGGAAACATGTTATTTTCCGACATTACCAGAACGTGTATTCACGTAGCCAGGGCTGCTCCCAGGAAGCGTGTGACCAGGCGAGGGTGCTGGAGCTTCAGGTTCATAAGCATCTGCCCATGTCTAGAAGGATGCAATTGCAAAGATGTAGGGAAACAAACAGGTGAGCGAGCAAATGTACTGTGAATAAAGAAACAGTAGCAACAAAACTTACGGGTTTAAATTGTTCCTGCATGGGAAAGGGATGCTAGAAAATAAATATGGTGTTGGGTCTAGGTGTTTACCTAGACTGTGACACCTAGACTGTGTGCGCTACAACCACAGCGGGCTTAAGAGATTTCCAGGTTTGTGCTAAAACACCTGAGGTTGGAGTTATAAACCCTTATTGTGTCCTATTCTAGGAGCAGCTTGCCCTGGGGCAAGTTAGCTGTGGTTATGAATTCCATGAAGTGAGGTTTTTCAGGGTGATGGCAAGCAGACATAAATCCCATCTCCCCACTGTCAAGGGCATCATCAGCCCTACGTTCAGAAATAGAGTGGGCACTTCACTTTTTCTCAGACCCCTTCAGATTAGTTCCATTTTGCTGCTGTGATAAAACACCACAGCCAAGAGTAATTTATAAAAGAAAAAGGTCATTTGGGCTTAGAGGTTCCAGAGGGAAAAATCTCTGAGGTCAAGGAAAGCATGCCTTGTGGTAGGAGCAGGAAGCAGGGTGGTCATGTCTTTGTCCACATGCAGGAAGCAGCTGAGAGGGAACAGGAAATGGGAATAAAGCTGTGAAACTCCAAAGTCCATCCCCAGTAATGCACTTTCTCCCGCAAGGCTTCACCTTCTAAAGGTTCCATAAATCCCCCCAAACAGCAGTGCCAATGGGGAGACCACGTGCACAAATGCACAAGACTCTGGGATGCGTGTTGGTGTGCACTTCACGGGTGTGTGTCTCCCTTTTCACATTCGTTTGAGGATTGTTATTAGATTTTATTTTTATTTAACTTGATTGATTGATTGAGACAGGGTTTCTTTATGTAGCCCTGGCTAGACTAGAGATCCACCTGCCTCTGCCTCTTGAGTTTTGGCAGTAGAGGAGTGTGGTACCACACCCAGCCTGTGGTGCATTCCCAGACGTCTAGATCTGTTTCTAGATTCCAGGATTTCTAGATTGTGTTTAGGGTAGAGGATAATGGTTTCTCCTTCTGCAGACATGAAGACAAGATGTATAAATGCTCATGAAATTCTTAGCATCTCTGTGGGGCCTTTTGTCTTGGCTAGGATAGAAATTTTAAAAAGCAAAAGTTTCTTACAGAAAATAAACACAGACCTCTCTTAGGCAGAGGAGTAAGAGACAAAGGCCGGTGTTGCCATTCATGGAGAAGGCTTTCTGTTTTCGTGCCTTTTCCAGACAAGGGAGGAGGCTTCCAATGTGCATGCGCCACTTTGCACGCTGCTCAAAACACTTCAGTATTTTTGTTCTGTCTCTCCCTTGGGGAGCTTTCGCTATGCTAATGTAGTATAATGAGGCATAATGAAGATCCGGGTCAGTTCTCCGTCAGTTTCTTTGCTGCCTTGGTGGTGGCTGGGACTGACTTTCTCTGCTGGCTTGTTACAGTGTAGCTGCCTGCTTGGTTTCTGCCGGCTCCCTGTCTCGTCAGAGCAGGAGGCTTGGAGCTCGTGCAGTAAAGACAATGGGGTGCTTGCTGGCCACTTCACAGGGCTTGTGAAGACCGCCTGTCCGCGGACTCAACTCCTCTTCTTTCCGCCCAGCACACTCCTTGATGATAAGCTTCTGGCTCACAAATGAAGGCGAAAAATAAATAGAAGGATATTGTTTCCATTGTCTAAGAAATTGGACCTGTGTCGGGCATTCCCTGCCCTGGACTTCCAGAACTATGCTGACAATGAACCGAGGAGCTGAACGTTCATTGCTGTTTACATACATGTACTTCAAGGGATGGGTGAAGGCGGTCAAGGGTCTAACTCTGTGCTCGCTTCCTCCAGAGAAAAAAGCTCACCATCACCAGCAGCATCACCGGAAAAAAATATACCTTTGTCACCGATTCAGCCAAGACCTGTAAATATTTGCTGGGCCTCTGCTCCGCCCAGCACTCGTTTCATGCCCAGATGGACTCCGAGCAGCCGCCCCGTCTCTCAAGCGGTGAGTGTATACGGTATTAGTAACACACAAGCAGACAGCTTGCTCGTTCACAAAATAATGTGTATGAAAATATATAGTTGACCCCCCTAAGGGCTGAAAAGTCTAAAATCATCACCCACAATGACAGGAACACAGTAAAAACAAAGTTTAGATTTATATATTTTATCCTCAGAATTGACAAAAGTGAAAATAACATTAGGAGGACAAATTAATACAGTCTTCCTGGAACTCAACTGGAGACTCTCTCCTCTCCCTCTCCCCTCCCCTTCTTCCCTTTCACTCTCCCTTCCTTCCCCCTCCGTCTATCCATCTAACTTTGTAAAAACCGAAAGGAGCTCTCCACCCCTTTGAATTCACAGTTTTACTGTAGACCTTCATCCTGAGGTAAGGAATACAGAAGCTGATGGCAGTGGAACTGTCCGTGGTACAGGGCTGAGTGAAGAAGGACAAGAGAAGAGACCCAAGCGCAGTAGTGATGGACAGCTCCACCCTTCAGTCTGGAGTGCTGAGTGAGGAAGGACAAGAGACGGAGTGCAGTATTGTGATGGACAGCTCCACCCTTCAGTGGGGGGGGGGGTAGGACCCCAGCCAGGGGTACTATAGAGCAGTTAAATAGTTGCAAGTGCAACCTAGAAATTAAACCTGTCATCTTGCTTAAGTTGGTGATTTATGTTTAAATTTGAATGGCTCGTTTATGTATATTCATGTGGTTAATGTTCACATGTTACAGAACAAGAAATAATACAGAAATAAGCAAAGCCAAAATCTCTTTTAATTAAATTTTTTCATTTATTCTATAAATAGACCACAGTTTCTCCTCCTGCTCCCTTCCATTTACTCCTACCTATCCACTCCTCCTCCATCTTCCTTCAGGGACAGGCATCCAACAGGAGTCAACAAAGCACATCAAGTTGAGGCAGGACTAAGATCCTCCCTCTGTACCAAGGCTGGGCAACGCAACCCAGAATGGGAATAGGTTCCCAAAATTCAGCTCAAGAACCAGGGACAGGTTCTGATCTAGTTTTAGGGGAATCCCAAGCTCTCTCTGGTCTCTGATGGCACATACATGTATGTGGTAGACGGGCACACATGCAAGCAACACACCCCCTGCCACACACACATAAAAATTTCCTTTATGACCACAACATATACATTGTCTTCTCAAACAGCACTGGGTAAGTCAGTTTACGAGGCTAGAAGCTGCATTGCTGTGAGGGACAGTCCAGGGTGTGCAGTGAAGCCATGTGCCGGTGGCTTGGTGGTGGAGTCAAGCTTCCAGCGCCCAGAGCCTATTTGTTTTATCCCCCTGCTTCTGCCTTTTACCATGTGCCAAACATAGCCTCTAGTGGGTGAGACTTTGCTTCGAGTGCTGACCTTATCGTGGTTTCCTTTGGTGTCTGAGTGGATTTCTTCTCCGATTTGTGAAAGGGAACAGCTAGCTATAATGATGCACTGAGCTCCTCCGAGATGCTAGGGATGTGGAACCTCAGGAGCTGCCCTACCTCTATTGAACCAGAATCCACGTGTACAAAAATAAAAACCCTACATGATTTTAACACAAGTGCAAGGCAGTGAAGCCTTGGCTACGGAAGTGGCCTGAAGAGCCCCTGAGAATCAGCCGAGTGCCACTTAGCAGCTGCGTGGCTCTGGGTAGCTCACATCCCCTCTCGTGAGAACACACTGAGCATCACGTTTCGAGCTCCCTGCCCCGTGCTCAGTGTGCTGTGACCATGGTGACAGCAGCTTCTACCTATGGGCTTTGCTTCTGTTCCAGACAATACACACAGAAGTCTCAACACTGGGCTTTAGGGTCCAGTGCATGGCTTGCGTGAACTGGAAAACAGGATCTGAGATTTCAGAAATAGAAGCAAACACAGAGATTGAGAGTAACTCATGGTCTGTAGCAGAGCAAACCAGTGAATGTGTCTCTGGAACCATGGGCTGCTGGTTTCCGAAGATTTCCAGGGCTCTAGGGATGATCAACGCAAACTCATTGTACCTGACTTTCCCGTTAGCGCTGAGAAACTGTACTTGAAACACTACCAATACTGTTCTTATGGCCTGATTTCAGTGACTATAAAATATTTATATAGACGCTTTGAACTCACTTGTGAAATTGGTCCTTCCAGGCCTATTTCGCTCCTAATATGCTGTTTTCTCAAATGTCACATTCTGTTGTCTTAGTAGTTTCCAGGACTCTAACATTTTATTTGTACTAAAAGGACTCACATAACCAATCCTCTCTTGCCTTTTAAGAATCTCTGTGTGAAACTCTCTGCAGATACCATTCTCCACCCACTCACCCCCATGTGTGTATATATGTGTGTGTGTTGTGCCTGCACATGTGTGTACATACATGTGGAAGCCAGAGGACAAGCTCCCCGGAATATTTCCTCAGGAACTGTCTACCTTGTTTGCTGAGACAGGCTCTCCCACTGACTACCTGGGGCTGCTGATTGGGTAAGGTTGTCTGGCCAGGAAGCTCCAGGGATCTGTTTGTCTCTTCCTGCCCCCAGCCCTTGCACAGGGATGGCAAACACGTACCTCTGTGCCTGTCTTTTCTCTGTTAGTTCTGAGGCTCAGACTCAGGTCCTGGAGCTTGCAGGACTGGGCAATCTCTCCAGACCCCGGACATCACTTTCATTGCTGCAGGGAGGAGAGAGCTCCCAAGACACGTTTCTATGACATGTCTCCCCATCCCCTTTCCTTGACATGATCTTTATCCTGTGCAAATGGAATCATGTATCACTCATCCAGGAAACCGGGACCTAGACCAACACCTTCCTTTCCTACCCCACCGGGGTACTACCACATGATCTTGGATAGGCATCTGCCTGAGATTCGCATCCTGTTGACTGCCTTCCAGCCTTTGGAGTGGGTTTTCAGATGGACCGGTCCAGTTGTGTTCTCCCCGCTAAAGCTTGTTCACAGTTCCACACTGACAGCAGAGACAAACCCCTAATTCTGAGGAAACTCTTCCCAGTCTGGCCCCAGCCTTGACTTCTTTCTTGTCCTGATACTTCTCTTTTCTTTCCAACTGTCCTGCATGCCAGGATAATGGCTGTGGAAAACCACATCCCAGTCTTCTGTGTCTTGGTGCTCTGTGGCTATGATGGTTAATATTAACCATCATCTTGACAGGATCTAGAAATACCTAGGTGGCAAGCCTCCAGGCATAGCCATGACGGAATACTGAGATCAGGTTCAGCAAGTGCAGAGATTCTCTTTAACTACAGATAGCACCATTTCCATGGGCCGGAGTCCTGGATGCAACAGGAGAAAGAAAGCGGAGCATCCACAATCCTTGCTCTCCGCTTTTTGCTTGTGGAAGCAATGTGATGGGAAGCCTCATACTTCTGCCACCGCGCCTTTCCCACCATGACAGACTTCCCCTTGGACTATGAGATGAAATAAAGCTTTCTCCACTAAGGTGTTTTTGTCAGGTATTTGGTCACAGAAAAGAGGAAAATAACAATACAGCGGCCTCAACTGTGGTGCTTTTCCTACCCCTCCTGGGGTCAGGCTACCAAGATAAGTTCGCTTCTCCTAGAGTAAGTTAGAGGTAACATCTATCTTGAAGCCTCTCTGGATGGGCTTTTTCCAGATGATTCCTGAAGGTGGAGTGGATCACTGCCTCCTTTTGAAGACCTCTGTCCTTTCTCCTGTGACACTGTGCTTACATCTGGGACAGATGAGGAATTTCTTGAAGGTAGTGACAGTATCACCCAGCCTTCCCAGCTCCAGTATGGAACAGAGGTGTGACAAATAAGAAGTGATATGCACATGCTTTTTACTGTATGTATTTATTAATTAACTGATTAATTTAGAGACGGTCTTGCTGTGTAGTCCAGAGTAGCCTTAAATTCATGATCTTCCAGCCTTAGCTTTTCAGGTGCTGGATTATAGGCTACAGAGTCTGTCTTTAATACCTGTTTCTTGGATGGATGGGTGGATGGATGGATGGACAGATGGGTGGAGGGATGATTTGTATGGAAATAAAATGATTACGATTTTTCAATATCGTAAATGCGACTGTAAAACATTACTAGAAAAATATTTTTTTTTCTGGCTTCCATGTCACTTCTTAACCTCAGAAGTATAACTTTGGGTCACAAGCCAAGGGAATTTTAAGGCCTCTCTGTGTCTCTGTCGTTCTAGAATGCTGGATCTCCTTGCCATTCTGATGTTATTTATTTTTATTTTTCATTCTCGAAGAGTAGATGCTCTTTTATTTTGTGTATTCGTTTAACAGGTAAAAATGATCTTTCACTGTGGCTTTGTTTTGCTTCTTTGACGGGTGAAAAGTTGAGCATTTTCCAAATGTCTCTTAGTCATTCTCCTGTGAATTGTCTCAACATGCACTTTATTTCATAGTTATATTTGGATCCCTAGAGAGAAATAAAACCACCGGCTCCTACAAGTGCACAGTTCCGGGATTGAATCAGGCAATATCTGTCATCACTACCCAGTGGGCTGAAATCTTTTCTCAGTTCTTCTTGTGGGCACATCCTGGGTTGTGGGAAGTGCTTGGCCCTTCTCTGAACCCATTCTTGCAGGACTGCTCTTGTGTCCTCCAGGGTCTCACTCAGTGGCTTTTTCCTTGTGGCCTTAGCTCAGGATGCCTCCTGGGTATTTGGGATGCTATAACTAACTTGGACTTGACCTTTAGCATCCAGACAGAGTCAGACTTTTCTCAGCTACTTTACTAGTATCACAATTATATTGTGGATTCACCCATAACCAGAGGACAGACACTGCCCTCTTAGCATGCCAGCATCTTTGGGACATTCGTGGCAACCCTTCTTTCTAATCCTGGGAGACCAGCACGCCTGGCTCTCCCGCCTACCTGTTGGTATACTTGTACAGCACCATGGAGTGTAGGCCTGCTGACTCTGCTGCTCCTGCTGACTCTGTCTCCTTGCCTTTTGGTCTCTGTTCTGTGCTGGCACATGCCTGGTGACATTGGTGTCCTGCTCTTTTTGAGTCTGTCATGCTATTAGCCTCTGTGGTCTCCATCTCTTACCTCGATATGTGGCATCTGTCCTGTACGCAAAGGTCTGCTCAACTCCCAACATTCCCTGGGGACATAGCTCTTGAAGAATCAGGCATGTGGGGCCTTCACTTCTCTGCTCCTTTCCGTGAATCCCTTTCCCTAGGGAACAGCTGCTTCCTAGACTGCCGGTCTCTGTGCAGTCCGCTTCAAACCACTGAGCCTCTCTGGGCTAAGACTAGCCTCCCCATCCCTGCCTAGAAAATCCCTATCAGGTGTTAGTAACTACAAGGACACTGTTCCTTCAGGGCTTGGTAGGCTGGGAGTTCTTAGGTGAATCTTTGGTGCTGTTTTCTGTGGCTCATTGTCTGTACCATGTGCACTATCCAGTGTGGACCATGGAGCCAGTGGACTAAGTGTGAAACCTGCTCTCTTACTAATCAACCTTTAGACCAGAAAAAGCTATCTATCCTCAGATTTTCTTATCTGTAAAATGGGTACACTATCCATTCCAGAGAGTTCTGGTGGGGACCATGTGAGACAGTAAAAGTGACAATGCTTGCCACTGATTGTCACACAGGACACGTTTAGTCAGAAGTCACTACTGGTATTACCTTCTTCCTGACAGGCCCACGCTCTGGAGTAAGACTATAAAATCTGTGCAGAAGCTACAGGACATATTCAGATGACTTACATCCCCCCATCCTTTCTCGCTTACTCTAAGTAAGGAGTGATTCCACAGTCCCCTTACTCACAGATTCGCAATGAGGAATTTGTTTTTCTAGTGGCTAACCTGTTCAAGGGTAACAGCCCTGGCAACACACCAGAAAGAGAAAGAACCAGAGAAAAAGAACCAGACAGAGAAAGTCTGCTTATGTAGTTAAACGTTCCTCACCCTGTCCTTGCAGGGGTGTTTTATTGAGCATTCATATACATGGCAACACAGATATAAACAGTTCTACCTCCGATAACTATGTCACATAGGCACACATCACATGTGTATGAAGATAACTGAAAACCGTGAATATGACACACATTTCTATGTACACCTCTACTCACATGCGCACACAGATACCACGTACTTACATATACATGAACACTATACATATACAACAAAAGAAGGAGGGAACATGGATACTGAGTATGTGGATGCTGTTATATACTTTCCTTCCTCGTTTCAGTAGGGAGCGAGTGACCAAAAAATAGTCACCAAATATAAATGCAAGCTAGGTGTGGTGGCTCATTCCTGTAATCCCAGCACTTGGGAACTGGAGGTAGAGGGATCAGGAGTTCAAGTTTGCCATGATGATAAAGAGAGTTCCGGGCTATCCTGGACTACAGGAGACCCTATCTCAACAATGAAATAACAAAATGAGCACGTAAAACCCCACAGCAGTGCAATAGATGCACTATTGCAATAGATGTTTTGAGCAAGGCCTTGCTGACTTAAGAGACCTTCTAATTAAATCTCAAATTTCTATGAATAATGTAGACAGTAAAATGGGACATTCCTCATCATCAGAGTCTTGTCACTGGAAACATCTACTAAACCTATATACGAAGGGGTAAAGAGTGGAGGGTCCGCACTTTTAATGTGTGTTAATATATCTGGCAGGGAACTCTTACGTGGACTAATACAGCTGTGTAGCGATTAAAGATTATATTCCACAGGGCAGAGCCTGACTTGGGATCCCAGAGTCCTGTAACAAAGCACCTGGGATCCCAAGTCAGGCTCGCATTTCCAGGGCTAGGCACAAGAATTCCCCAAGCTCATGGGAGGCAGAATGACAAGTCTCTCAGTGCGGAGAAAGAACTGGGAAGGAGAGCCAGGGTCAGGAGGGTATGGTTGTATCAAGACCAATGACTGGAACCAGTGTAATCCTGTGGGTATGCCTGTTTTTTTCTCCCCCAATTCAGATCAGGATAAGTTTGTACACATAGCCAACTTGAATTCCGCACACCAGACACAGGCCAACCCTCTCACTTGGATTCAGAAACTGTCATGTTCAGAAAACGAGCTCTGTGTACCCAGGTTGCAGGATGCCATGGGAGGCCGGCTGAGCACGTCTATGGAGAACATGCAAGGCAGCAAGGAGATCGGGACAGAGGGGATCAAAAGCAGGTGGGTTTTGGTTTTCTTTAGAGCCAAGTTGCCAGGCGCATGGTTCAGCAGAATCATCTGTACCTGAAGCATATTTAATGTCCATGGATTTGAATGCCAAGGGAACATGTATGTCCTCTGGGTTGTTTTTAACTTGATCTAGAGATTGACTGTAGGCCACTACGGTGGTTAAGCCGATCGCCGTCAGACCAGGTCTCATGCCCATAGCCTTCTCTTCATATCTTCTGGTAGAGAAAGAGCTGAGAGGTCATGGGAAGACAGAGAAGGGAAAACTAGAAAATGCCAACAATCACCTTTGGACTATCATCATAAGCCAGGCACTACTCTGGGAACTTGTTTCTCAACCCGTGCAGCAGTGTGAAGTTGGTTCTTTCCCATTATCTCTATTTTCCAGAAGGGAAACTGGAGGGTTAGGACTTACAGACAGCAGTCCGTCCTGGAGACTGTCCTGGGAATCCTGAGTGCCGCTTCTTTCCAGGATGAAGGCTTGCCATTGCCATTCCAATGTGCAAGCAGGGAGCTCATAAATGCCGTGTTCACTGTAAAACAATGATCCAGGCATTTAAAAATAGCCTAGAACTTGGATTACACTTACAAGGCAAGTTACAGAAATAGCTCCGATTCCCAGGCTGTGTACTGAGGAGGGGGTGGGGTGGCAGGATCCGCTTTGGGGAGGGGGAAGACGAGTTATGCATCTGCTTCAGCAGGAGAGAATGGATGATTCATTTGAACTGAAATACATGCATATACACAGATAGCTCAAAGCGATGCTTAGAAAATTACTGCCCCGATTCTGCTGATGCAAATGTGCCTCGCTATGCAGTACAAAAATCAATCAATAATGAGGAAGCAAAACTCATTCTGAGTTTCCATGGCAAACCACCCCAAGCACAGTGGCACAGCCCAGCAGCCATCTTGATATTCTGCTTCACAACTTCGTGAGTTAGAAAAGGAGGTAGAATTCTACTTTGTGTGGTATTGAGGGCATCACGACAGTCCTCAGCAGGTGCCCCCCGGATGGAGGTGGCTGGGGGTATGCTTCCTGCTGGTGCCCTCTCGCCCCTATCTGTGCAGCCTCAGGAGGCCCTTTCCATATAGGGACTCCATCAAGAGTCTCCAGTGTTCCTCTGGGCTCTGAGAATTGGGAAGAGCTTCCAACGGTCAAAAGGTACTTCTCAGAGACAGCATTTCATCACTTCCTCCCAGGTTCATACAAATTCAAAGGGACTAGAAATGGGCCTCATCTCAATGTGTGAGTGTCAGTGGGTTTGTGGTGTCTTTTACCTGTCACCCATTGGTTCACGGTATTTTATAACACTGCTGCATTTAGGAGCAGAAGCAGGACTGGGAAGTGTCAGCAGCCAGGGTGCTTGCTGCCATACCTAACAACCCAGGTTCTGTTCCTGGTACCCACGCAGTGAAAGGAGGAAACCAACTCCTGAAGGCTGTCCTCTGACCTTAGCATGTGAGTGTCCCCACAAATGAACATGCGTATGCACGTGCCCGTGCATGCATATGTAGTTTAAAATGTAAAGAAAAAGAGAAAATGCAGAAGTAACTACAGCCTTTTCAAGGCCATTGTGCTAGCTCCCTGTTACTGTAGCAAAATACTTCAGGAATGGACTCAAAAAGAGGGAAGGTTCATTCTGACTCACAGTTTTATTCCATAGTCAACTGATCAGGATGATTTTAGATCGGTTGTGGAGCAGCGCATCACGGCAGGAGTACATGGTAAAAGAAGCCCATTTGTTTCTGGTGGAGGCAAAGAAAAGATAGCAAGAGCAAGGAACTGGGGGTCATCTGTCTTGTTCTTCCAAAGACCTCTGTTGCCTGAATAGGAAGTATCTTTAAAAAACTCATGCCGGGTAGTGGTGGCACATGTCTTTAATCCCAGCACTCGGGAGGCAGAGACAGGAGGATTTCTTTGAGTTCAAGACCAGTCTGGTCTACAAGAGCTAGTTCCAGGACAGACTCGAAAGCTCCAGAGAAACCCTGCCTTGAAAAAAAAAATCATATACTGAAAGCTTACCTCCTGCCTGGTGACACTATTTTGGCAAATGCTGGAAACTCTAAGGTATGTGATTTAGCTAGAAAAAGTAGGTCACTGGGGACAGGTCCTTAGGAGTATAGTTGTCTGCATCTTGTCTGTCTCTCTCCATTTCCTATCTTCATGAGGTGAGCAGCCTCCGCCACGTGCTTCCATGATGCTCTCCTTTGCCCCTTGGTGCTCAGCGCTGCCTAAGGCTGTGGCTTGAAAACTTTACTGTAAGTCCTGATAAACTGCCCCTCCCTTACGTTGCCTCTATCAGACATCACAGTAACATAGTCTGCCTAAGACAACCTCTTTCCAAGCCGTACCTCTGAAGGGTCTACTTCCCAACAGACCCACATGAGGAGCCCAAACCTTTGACTGCAACCGGGCGCTGGATGACACTGAAATCCTAGCAACTGCTTAAGAAACGTCTCAACAGCATGGCAGCCACGAGAATAGAAGGGCTTAACAGTGTGGGAACTTTGCAGCATTGGCTGTGAGCCTGCCTGCCTTTCAGGAAAGTGGGTTCGAGCCCTCCACCAAGCCTACTCCTTCTTTATATCATGTTTACCTCTGCACTGCTTTTTAAATGACCCATTTTCGCAGTCCCTCACGACTCATGTCAGGGGAGGTTACTGGTGACCTTTAGGCAAAATGGGAAATTTCAGAACTTGCCTGAGTCTGTGACCATCTGAAATACAACAGGAACCCATGGCTTGGGGCAGGTGGGCTTCATGGCGATGAGGCTGGGAAGGAGTGAGCAAGGGAAGGGGGAGCATTAGTGCAGGGTGTGTACGTCATAGAAGAGCTACTGGGAATGACCAGGGTTCAGTTCCACCTGGTGTCTGAGCACTTGCCCTGAACTCTAGGGGAGGAGGTCAGGATAGGTTCAAGGCCTAAGTCAAGCATAGGTACATTGGGGGAGCAGGGGTGTGTGACAGCAGGCCTTAGTGGGCAGGTAGAATTTGTATTCAGTTAGACAGAGAGGAGGAAGGCCACGGGCAAGCCTGTCAGTCTAACTCAAGTAGTGTCTTCAGCATCTACTGCATGCCTGTCCTAGGTGTCCTGGATACGTGCTAAGAATCTGGTATTCACAGTGCAGACAGGGTCAGTGCCTCCTGGTGCTCACAGGTATGCAGAAATGAGCAATCAGGATGATGTAGGGAAGAGCAGGTCATGCTGATGGCCTGATGTGTAAGGCCTGTAGGCTAGAGTGGGCAGCCTGTGGCACTGACCCTGAGGGGACCCTCTCATTGAGCCACTCACAGAGGCTGTTTCCACAGAGCTTCTGCACGCAGGGATGTTGGCCACCTTCCTTTCTTACTTATCTGAAGCCTTTCCTGACGGCCCAGCAGGAGGCTGGCTCCTCTGCACACGGGTTCCATTTCGGAAGCCCCTCCCTGGGCGTGCCCACCCTGGCGAGCTCATGCTTTCAACCTTCTGCTCTAAACACAGAGACTCCCCAGAATAGCAGTATGCCAGTTGTATCCTCCGCTCTGAAGGCGGAATGTGGAAGTTTTCAGTAAATGGATTTTGAGATGCTGGCATTTTGAAAGGGAGGGGGGAGGGAAGAGAGAGAGAAACACTCTTTAATTGTGGTAAAATACAGAAAGCATAAAATGTATCATCATTACCATTTTATGCCTTCAATTTTATTGTTTCTGTGCCAGTGGCATCGGCACATCCACATTGCTGTTGGGCATCCTTCACGGGGTCTTCATCGCCTCACGTGGAACCCGCTTTCCCTCAGCACTCCCTCCCACCCAGCCTAACCCTGACACAGCCCTTGGTACCCACAATCTACTTTCTGGCTGTGAGTGTGACTCCTCGAAGTTCCTCACATAATAACTGACTCATGCACCATTTGTTTTCGTGTGGCCAACAGTAAATGGGTTTTTAACAACTGAGAGCCAGTTCGTTGGGTGACCCAGATCACATGAGCCACAGAAACCCAGACCAGATAAGTCCTTGCTGTTCTTCAAAGGGCACCTAGAGACACTGCCCAAGCCTCTCTCAGGTCCTCCCTGGATGTTGGGATTTTTCCTTCCCTTGAGCCTATATCTCTCCCTTCAATGGGCTTGGGAGGCTGATGGCCCATAAAACTTCTAGAGGGCAGGCCCATCTCTTACTCATATGATGGAGGTGGGTCTTGTATTTATCTGTTGCTTTCATTGGTTAATTAATAAAGAAAACTGCTTGGCCCTGATAGGACAGAAAATTAGGTTGGCGGAGTAGACAGAACAGAATGCTGGGAGAAAGAAGCCGAGTTAGGCAGTCGCCATGATTCTTCCATCCGACACAGGCGCAGGTTAAGATCTTCCCTGGTAAGACACCTCGTGGTGTTACAGGGATATTAAAAATGGGTTAGATCAATATGTAAGAGCTAGCCAATAAGAGGTTGGAACTAATAGGCCAGGCAATGTTTAAAAGAATACAGTTTCTGTGTAATTATTTCGGGTATAAGCTAGCCATGCGGGAGCCGGGGCGGCCGGAATGAAGCCTACCGCAGCACATACAACACTCATATACCTTGCAAGACCAGGCCTGGCCTCTAGTTGGTTCTAATCAAATTTGGTTGGACTTGTCACAGGAATAGATGTAAACATGAGTAAATACAGAAGAAGGCAGCTCCCTGATGGGAAAGAACGGTTTTGGTTTGTCCCTTCTCCCCTCCCCCCTACAAGCCCTGCCTCCCAAACCTGGGGACCCTGAGAGGGTCCATACATGGCTACCTGTATCTGCTGCAGTCCAATTGTCTAATCTGCATGGTAAGGGCAGCCTCCCTGGTGTTTGGGACAGGCTGAGTGACACTGATCTGGTGGTTGACTGTCCAGGAGGCCCAATGCTGGCTGTTTCCAGAGCTCTGAGTGGGCATGCACGTTCTCTCTCTCTCTCTCTCTCTCTCTCTCTCTCTCTCTCTCTCTCTCTCTCTCTCACACACACACACACACACACACACACAAACACACACACACACTGGCATCTGCTCTTAAATTCTGCACTCTGCTTTTTTCTGAGTGTGTTCTTGAGGTGGCCCTATTGGAATAAATATGTACTAGTCTGCTTTCTGTTGCTATAAAAATGATGAACAAGGCTGGGTACCTTAAAAGAAGAAAGGGGTTTAGAGAGCTTGCCTCTGCTCTAGCCCATAGCAGATGATCTCATGAGAATGCATGTTAGACTCAGTGGAAGGACAGGGCCAGGGGCCAGGCTAGTCTTGCCCTTTTAAAACAACTCTGTGTCAGAGAACTAACTGGGGTCCCAAAGGAACTAATTAATCCCTTCAAAATGGGATATACCCAGTGATGTAATCATATCCCACTAGGCTCCTCTTTTTAAAAATCCAGTCACCTCCCAGTAGCATCTCCCCACCTACCCCGAAGGACCAAACTTTCAACAGCTGAACCCTTGAACCCTGGGGAGGAAACGACATCCAAACCATGCCAGTACACATTTAGTCAGCTGAACGCCTGCTCAAAAACTCCCGGGTACCAAGGGGGCCTCCAACTCACTCCTCCTGATAGATGGATGAGTATGCTGCCCTCAAGGAACACAGCGTGAGTGGGGTTGCCTGACCCTTCTAGGGACTTTTAACGGAAAGGAAGAGCAAACAATAAGCCACTAGGAGAGCCACCACAGCTCTGTACGGCTACTGCTAGAGTTTGGCGACTTCATGAGCCTGGGAAATTGGAAGATAAGTCCTGTTTTATGACTGAGGAAATGGGTTCTGCAGCTGTTGCATAACAAGCTCATGTGGACAGTGGAGGTCCAGGTGAGGTCTGGGTGACCATGATGAGCCCTCTGGGACAGCGACCCTAATGACATTCCTTGCTTGTTTTGTACTGCTCACGAGGCTGGTCTAAGGGTCTACTGGATTGTTTGGTACAAGGCTGTCTTCTTCAAGCCGCACTCACAAATGGCCAAGGTGGCCCCTTCCAGGAGCTCCCTGTCTTACATTTCCATCTTTCCCCTCAGCCCTTACACTGGCCGAGAGCAACCAAACAGCATCACTTGGATTCAGAAGCCAATTCAGCCTCTCTCTGGGACAACTGTCCAGAGTATGTGCACAGGTACAGACTGAACCCTGGCCAGGTGTGGGAAGGGTGGTTCTCTCCAAACCTTTCCCACCTCTTTAGTTTGTTTCCCAAAGAAAGCTCACTATCGTCTTGCTTTACAAATTCTTCTCAAAACTTTTCAGAGATGAGAAGGCCTCTCCTAGATAATATCTGGCCTTGGGTGGTGCATGAATCCAGAAGGGGAGAGTTTTGGCTAGGTGGTTTCCAAAACTGTGGTTGAGTGTGAGGAATATCACCTCTACTGCTTCTCATGGACTCCCAGTATCTCCCCGTGCTCCCCAGAAAGCAGCCATAGGGACATAGGGAGGGCAGTATGTTTATCTCCTCAAGCTCAGTCAAAAGCGAAGGCAGAGATGCTGTAACTAAGAAGACTACTGGTACTTAAAGGATGTTAAACCAGAAGCCACATCTGGATGCTGCCACAGCTCCCTACGATTGACTAAACTGTCTGCCTGACAGACTCAAGCATGGTCCCTGGGGAGGAAAGACGTGAATTGCTTGTGGTGGTTGGCCACCAGTGGGAGATTTTCCCGCTGGAATTGTGACAAAAATTGTGTCATACCCCAGGACTCCAGCTTTCTAGAAACAGCATTAGGGTTCTGCTTTGGGTCTCCTCTAGTCATAAATTTGGAAAGTACACCAGGACAAGCAAGCTGGGCCATCAGTCCCTACACTTTCATGACTGGATGGCTCAGCAGTTAAGAGCACTGCCTGCTCTTCCAAAGGTACTGAGTTCAATTCCCAGCAACTACATGGTGGCTCACAACCATCTGTAATGAGATCTTGTGCCCTCTTGAGGAAGGGACCTGGTCAGTTGTCCTCATCAACGTAGACCATGAAACCCAATATGGACAGTTTCAACAGAACCGCCATATACTGGCTGCCCATGCATGCTTCAGCATTGCCAGGGCATACATTTCATTCATTTTAATTTCAGAGACCCATATTATCTTTCCGTTATTAGAACAAATTTCTGAGAGAAGTCAGTTTAAAAAGAGGAAAGGTGGGAAGGCAGAGGCAGGGGATCTCTGTGAGTTGAGGCAAGCCTAGTTATATATCAAGTTCTGACCCAGCCAGGGCTATATAATAAGATCCTACCTGAAACACAATAAAAGAAAGAAAGAAAAGGTTTGTTTTACCCATGACTTAAGAGGTTATCAGTCCAGGTTGTTGGACCCTATGGCTTCGTGCCTGTGATGGTAGAGCGCATCATAGTGGGAGTGGATGATGGGTGAGGCCTGTTCACTGATGAGAGTCGGGAAGCAGAGAGACAGAGAGACAAAGAGACTGCTATTGAGTATCCTTTTCAAGAACCATCCATGTGAATATCTACAGACATTTAAGGCAACCTCTCTTAAAGGTTGTATTACCTCCAGACCTCCAGTAGCGACACACAGTGGCAACAAAACTTTCAACTCATGGTCCTTTTGGGGACATTCGAGATCCAAGCTATTGCAAGACTCATGGGAGAGACTTTGCTGTCTCATCTCTGTGTTTCAGTTCCAATTGTCACTGACATGAAGTACAGCCCGCACTTATCCTTTATCTTGTCTCAAGATGAGTGCAGGAAAAAGGTTAGGTGAGCCTGGTGGCTCATGCTTACAATCCAAGTGCAGGGTGATCAAGAGTTTGAAGCCAGTGTTGGGTTCATAATAAGTTGGAGGTCAACCCGAGAAACAGAGAGATCATGTCTAAAAAATAGCAAAAACTAGGGGTTTAGCACAGCGATAGGACATTTGCCTCACATGTTCAAAGTCCTAGGTTCCATCTCTAACACCAATGGGGAGGGCTAAGGTGAATCACTCAGAAAATGGACACAATCAGCCATCCTGCCACAGTCTCTGTTCCTGCAGCCCAGTCTTGACCAGCAGTGGCTCGGCTGTAGTTTGGCGAACTATGTTCTTAGTGATCTGTTGCCAAGCCAATGGGAGATTTGCTGTGACCTGTTCTTGCTTGTATGTGTGTGGTTTTGTTGTGTTTCAACTGATTTGGGAGGGAAACCCAAATATGGTGCTTTGATTCTCCTCCAGGGTCACAGAACAGTGGGAGGAAGAGCTGTATGGGAGAATCCAACCAAGACATCTTGTGTGTAACGCTGAAGCGTGATCCACATCGTGGCTTTGGTAAGAGGGCTTCCTGAAGGCGTGATTCAGGCTCCGGTCATTGAGCGGGGACAAGCACCATTCATTTCCCTAGTCTGGCCTCCTCTCTCCTATCTTGCGTTTCTCAACAATCCCTTCTACTGTTTCCTTCCTTTTAGTGCCTGCAAAGAACACAAACACTTTTGGTACAAAAGATTCCTTGCAAGTGCTGATATATTTTCTGGATGCATCTAAGCACAAGATAAAAATAAAACCCCCCTTCCCCACACACCTTGCACCAGGCTTTCTCCAGTATGAACAGGTTGGAGAGGAGTAGTCAATCTTTTGTATCTTCAATTATTAGACACATTTAAAAATACTTAAAAACATATATGAAAAAAGACACTGAGACGGGTTATTTGGTTAGAGATCATCTTTCCTGGGAGTGGGGAGATGGTGCCGCTGATGAAACGCTTGTCGTGCAAGTGTAAAACCAGAGTTTAGATTCCCCAGCACCCACATAAAAAGATTGGGTGTGTGTGGTATTATGCCTCCACTCCTAGCACTCTGGAGGCTGAGCCAGGGATTCCTCCAGCAAGCTGGCTAATTTGACTAGATGAAATCAGTGAGCTTTGGGTTCAGCGACCAACAGCTTCAATAAACAAAGTGAAGGGACAAAAGTTCACATGATGGCTCACAACCATAACTTCAATCTCAGGAGATCTGATACCTCATTCTGACCTTCACAGGCATTTCACACATGTGGTACAGAGACATACATGTAAGTCAAACACCCATAAACATAAAAAAAAAGTAGAGAACAACCCAGGAAGACTTCAAACATCAAACTCTGGGGCTCCACATGCATGAACACATATGCATGAGAATTTCCACACATGTAAAATACACACACACAGTGAGAGAGAGAGAGAGAGAGAGAGAGAGAGAGAGAGAGAGAGAGAGAGAGAGAGGATGGATGCAAGCAACCTCAAGTCCTGTCTCATCCAGCTGTGTTGGAGGGCTGCGTTTCTGTCATTAGCTATGGTTGGTAAAGAGGGTGTCTCGTTCAGATGCAGTGATCAGTCATGCCACTTGGTAGCTATTGAGCCACAAAGTCATTAAGCATCATCTTATTATTACATGCCATTTTGGATTACAGGTTTTGTCATTAATGAGGGAGAAGATACAGATCAAGCAAAGCCTGGCATTTTCATATCTTCCCTTATACCTGGGGGACCAGCAGAAAAGGCTAAAGTGATCAAACCAGGTACACCTTAAGTTAAGTCACCAGAGATGTCGTAAGCAACCTTTCTTATTTCCTTGCTGGAGTTATTGAGTCTTTTTTTTTTCTCCAGGAGGGAAGATATTAGCCTTGAATCACATCAGTCTTGAGGGTTTCACGTTCAACATGGCTGTTAGAATGATCCAGAATTCCCCTGACAACATAGAATTAATCATCTCACAGTCAAAAGGTAACATTTCATCTTACTTTCAGCAATGGAACAGCCTCCTCTGCTACCACCATGGGCACAAAACACAGAGCTCCATGTAGGTCTTTTGTGTAACTCCCTGCAAACATAGTCCTGTCTCGCAAGGAGGCAACCCAGCGGCACAAATCAGTATGCTGTGTAATCTCAGAGCCAGAGCGGGGTCCCAGGATTGCATGTCTTTCTGAAAGGCAGCAGCCTCCTCATTAGGTGTGGCTGGATACACCCAGTGTCTATGCATTCCCACCCGCTCTCCTTGCATGATGGGGAGGGAGTTCTTATTGGCGCTCAAGTCTAAGGTGTCTACAGCTGGGCTCAGGTGGAGCAGTCACCTGTGCATCTGGGAAGGAGGGTGAGGTTGTTCTCTGCCAGTTAGAGTAAGCAGGAATCCATGAGCAGCCATCTCTTAGAGGAGCCCAGAGCCTGGTATTACCAAATATAGCCCAAGGATGCTACATGTTGGTCTTTTTGTCACATGCTGGTAACAGCTGTGCCCCTCATGGTTTTGCAGAAGGTCAGAGCTAAGAGAAGTCCCACATGTTGAGTATGGGGTTTGGGACAAGTTAGTTCATCCTTTTGATTCTGTTTTAATTAATTCATTAAATAATTAATCTGATTCTAATTAAACTGAGATAACACCTTCCTGGTGGCCTCTTGAGAGGATGAAAAGATCTCATCCCCCCTCTCCTCTCGTCTCCTCTGGTCTCCTCTGGTCTCCTCTCCTCTGGTCTCCTCTCCTCTCCTCTGGTCTCCTCTCCTCTCCTCTCCTCTCCTCTCCTCTCCTCTCCTCTCCTCTCCTCTCCTCTCCTCTCCTCTCCTCTCCTCTCCTCTCCTCTCCTCTTCTCTGCTCTCCTCTTTTCTCCTCATCTTTTTTCTTCTCATATCCCTTCCCATCACATGAATGACAGGAGTTTTATAAAGAGGGACTGGCATTCCTCACTCTCCTTGCTCTCATGTTTTCATAACTGGATAACACAAATGACTTCTATTTACATTTCTGATCACTTCTAAAATCCTCTCTTTATTCTGAATGCAGCATTCTTCATGAAATGATGAATTCAGAGCATCCTCTGCAACTCTAAAAGCTCTTGTCACTCAAGGAAAAGTTCTATGTCTCATAGGATGCTACCAATATGCCAGTCTTTCCAAATATTGATCTCTTGGCTTGTTTTTGTAGGTGTTTGTGGAAATATCTCCAGTGAAGAAAAGAATAGTACAGCAAGTTCTGGCACGTTCTGTACAGATATCCCGAGCAATGGGTGCCAGGGAAGAGAGTCAGCGCCCACACGTGACCAGGACAGAAATGCCAGAGGACCAGAAATGGCTCAGGTGCAGAGTTCATCACCCAGGCAGGGGCCTCCATTCTCCCTTCTATTGTTAAAGATGCGAATCTTCTTGGTCTACGATCTAGAATCTAGAAGAAAGAGAATATAGTCTGTGGAGTCCAGTGGTGCTCCCATATCCTATGCTGTCCTGTGCTCTTGATGTGTCCTGTCAAGCAGCTACAAGTTGCTTAACCTCTTCCCAGCATGGGAAGCAGGTAGAGCTACTGACACAGGGGGCAGGACTCAGTTGGAGCCTCAAGTGTTCCTACTCATTTATTAGAACTATTTCTCATAATGCCAATGTGAGGGGATTGGTCGGTGCTGGGGCAAGGCATGGACCACTAAATGTCTTATAATCTTGACTTCTAATTGGTCCTTGAGCTAGTAGCTAAATAATTCTGTGCTTACCATTGCCCCCTGGAGCAAGGGAACAAAGTGTGGCTTTGGCTTCAGTCTCTGCTCTGCATTGCCTGCTGTCTTCTTAGTGACTGGTAGGCAAGTCCCCCATGGCCTCTCAGGTCCACCCTTTTCTTTTGCTCTGGGTCCCTTGCAGCTCATGTTCATTGGCTATTTTAGTTGATTCTGCCTGGAAGAAGCTTTCACACGAGCCTGAAAAATTCTACCAAAAATAGGGATAAGCGTGCCACTGGCCATGTGCTGACCTAGGTGGAAACCCCCTCAGTGATGAACAGAGCACCTACCAGCTGATCTTTACTAGGGGATGACTTCCTGGCTTCCATCATCCTCTTGCCCCTCTCAGCTCCAGGTTCGGAGTAGCTACAGAATCCACTGCTTCTACCCCAGGCTCTGATGCTGCTCATTGCTTTCTCTAAAAACTGCCAGAACCTTTGAAACATGCTCGGCATTAACTCCCCTCCCTGGCCCAGGCTGAGCACGCGGACCTTCTCATTCTTTTGGAGCTTCTAGACAGGTTGCTCTATGTCTCCCGTGTTTCTCTCATGGAGGAAGAAGAGTAATGTCTGTCCACCAGAACCTCAAAGATGAAGCCTGTACTCACCAGTGAGCAGCTGTTTGGGTTTGTCACTTTGGCCCAAGTATTGGGGAAAATGGTACCGGAGCTTATCACTGCTAAGCTATGGCATTCAAGCGGTTTTCATTTTGTGAACCACTCCCAAGGGAGGGCTCGCCATGCATAGCCACAGGACAAGCTGAAACTCTACATACTCTTTCCAATCTAGGTGGGGCTACTGCTTCCTCCAGACTCAGTGGCTTCAACCAAGCAAAGTTATCTTTCATTCCACAGATACTCATCAACCAGTGCATATGTATGAGGCTCTGGTCAGCTGCTAATACAGCAAAGAACAGAACAGACAGATCCCTCGCTCACAGTTCAGAGAAGCATGCTATGGGCATTGTGCAGAATTATTGGATAGGGCCCTTGAGACACAGGCATGTTGGCAAGAAAAGAGCATATATGTTTATTGAATATATGTTTTACAGGAGATTTTGTGTGGAAAGAAGACCCACAGATACAGTTAAACCGAGGTGTATTCTATAGGAGGTTTGGTGTAAATGGAGAACTGTAACTAAGCAGAAAGCAGGAGTCCACTGGGGGACATTAAAGAGGGTGTTAGTGTGATTCTCTGGATCCCTGACCCTTAGCCTTCGCAGTTTCATCTGGGCACAAGGAAGGTACTTCTCACATGAGGACCTTATGCCTTGTTCGGGGAAAGGTTGGAAAATCCTTGGTTCCCATGACGGGCTTCAGGTTAGAAGAGCCAGAGGAGGCCAGAGACTTGTCTACTCATGTTGCTTCACAGGTTACTTAAAGTAGGAGTCATTTTACTGCGTGGTTTTGTTACGATGTCATATGTTCTGTTCCCAAGCACTAAGGTCTGGCATGGAGTAGGGCTCTTTTATTGTTGATATCTTCTTAGTTGGCCATGATGCTCATCCACACAGCGCAGGCATGATGAGCTGGATACAGCTGGCCTCAGAGGCTCACCCCTGTAATCCCAGCATTTGGGAAGCTGAGGTCAGAGGTGGGCATAGTCAAAGAGAATAATAATGATAGCAACAGCCACCTGCTTATGTGTTCAGCAGTGTCCTGGGCACTTTATATGAGAGATCTCACGAAAGCTCGGTGGCAGTTATATAAGGCAGTATGACTGTCAACTCCTTCTGGAGTGTTTTTACCCGGGGCACAAAGAGAAAAGGATTGTGCTAAAACTCCAGGGAGTTGGTGGTAGATCTGAGTCCGCAATCCATGGTGTTGGATTTGAGAGCAGAAACCATGTTCCCAGGCTGCTCTTTAGAAGGCTTCCTTCTTGCAGGACTCAGCAGAAAACTCTGTAGGGTGGGAAACCTGCAAGCTGGTTTTAGGGGCAGTTGAGAGGGTACTGAACATCTATAGGACCTACATCGTCAGGTTCTTGGAACTTGTGACCAGCTTTGTGGTCAGATAACCAGTGGTGTAGTGATATCACACGCCCACTTTGGATCTCATCCTTGACCGTTGTCTCATTCCTTAAGATTCAAGGAGTGTGGAGTCCTTGAAATACCTGACGTTTCCTCTGTTCTCTGCAAAACTCTCCTGAAGCTCTTCTGTTGAAATAGTGATTTTTAGTTAACTTCAGCTTATTTATTTTCCAGTGAGTTAACAGTATTTTCAACATGGACCAGGAATCTCAGACTATAGAGCACATAGAGACAGTGGAGCATGGACAGCAAGGGGAGCATTTTCTGTCTAGATGCAATGGTCACTCAGCTTAGCACAACCTGTGGAAACTCCAGATGTGCCCTTGAGCTTATGTGTAGCACAAATAATAAAAGTCCAGAGACAGATAGTGGGGTTCAACCTGAAGATCATAAAAGCAAAGCAGCCAACTACTAGCTCTAACCTCTACCTCAGACCGAAAATGGGCAATCCTGCCTCCACGAATCCTCAGACTGAGACTGAGACCCATCTCTATTTCTGGGATTAAAGGCGTGCATCATCACTATCTTGGCCTCTGTGGCAAACGAGTGTGGCTGCTGGGAATAACAGTGTGTGCAACCACTGCCTGGCCTGTATGGCCGACTAGTGTGGCTGCTTTGCACTGACCTTCAGGCAAGCTTTATTTATTAACACACAAATAATATGCCACAATACTTTTCAGCCGGACCTCGCTTTGAGTTCCAGGTTTTCCTATACCAGCTGCATCTCTGAGGGTCCAGCTGATAACACTCCCTTTAGTCATAGCTTCATGAACTTACTACCACAACAGTTATTGGTTATGTGATTGGGAATCTCCCTGCTAAGAGACTCAAGCCCCTTAGACAGCCATTTATCATGGGCAGGTGGGTCTCATCATCACAGTTGTGCCCAGATCCTTGTTCCCCTTTCTGGTGCCCTAATAAAATGGATGAATTACAAACAATGGTTTATTTGGATAATGCTTTGGCAGCTGGGATGTCCCAGATGGAGAAGCTGTATCTGGTGAAGGTTACTGTGTTGTGTCATGTATGGTGGGAGGCCTGACATGAGGGAGAGTGTGCATGAGCGTGAGAGACAGAAAGAAAAAAATGGGACAAGTTCCTCCTTTTTACGCATAGCCTCTTCTCACAGCAATGCAGTCATGAGGCTTCATGGCATAATTTCTAAGAAAGCCTCATCTCTTAATTATATCAATTGTAATTAAATTTAAGGATGATTTGTGGAGGAGGTGTTCAGACCACAGCCTAACCCTGTTCAATAAATGTCTCATGAATAGTTGAATGGATGAACAAGTCTTATATAGTTATTGTCACAAGTACTAAGGAAATTGCCTGGTACGTGGTATGATATTTTTCATAAACCCCTTAGCTACTGAAAAATCAACCATAACATGGCCAGTCTAGCTAAGAATGGTCAGAAGTCCTCTTGAGATTTGCTTTGCCTCCAGGAGTTGCTGTAGGTCTGGTGGCCAGCATGCTGTACTTGGCTGCCATCATGTGTTGAGTGATAGAGGAAGGACCTGAACAGCTTCAGTGCTGGCATGGATGTTTGCCAAGTGAGTGCAGACAGGAAGTCTCTGCATTCCTTCAGTCCCTGCCACGTACCAGGACTTTCACGGGTAGGAGGCACTCTTGGAGGCCAGTTATATGGATTAGAAAATGGGGGCGAGAGAGTCCCATGGGTAGGAATGGATAAAGCTGGAGAAGTCTCTCTGGGCTCATGCTCTTGCTGGAGGCAGTGCTGCTGGCTCCTGGTAGCGAATGAGAACTGAGTATCTGCAGAGGTAGGGCACGTGCCTCATGGCTTCGTTTTTCTGTTTGTTTGGGACAGGCTGCTGGTTATTGTCCTCCATCGCCTCGAGAAACCAATGCTGGTGAAATCTACTTTGTGGAGCTGGTTAAAGAAGATGGGACCCTTGGATTCAGCGTGACAGTAAGACTTTAGGGAGCTTGGAAAACAGTAAAACGCTATCCATACAGAGCCTTGGAGGGCATTCTGCCCCGATAATGTGCTCATTGTGTTTAAGTGCACGTTGTACGTAAGGGATAAACTGAGCTTTCTGTAGGGAGTGAGAATCAAAAGTCAAACTGGGCGACAGAGCCACTTGAGGTTGTGCTGTGGGCAGGCTCTGAGGAAGAGCAACAGAAGAAAGAGGTGATGGGAGAGAACCTGGGTGAAGTTGTCTGGCTTCAAGCTTCAGCTGGACAGCAAAAAGAGGCAATAAGGCAGAACTTTATGGATGGAAACCAAAGGTGAGTGGAAAACTCACTGCCCTCCCAAGTAAGATTGAAATAAACTTGTGCTCCATCATTCAGAAGCCAGCAAAGTTCAGTCTTTGAGGTTTTCCACGCATTTGACATTTTGCCTCTGGCTTTTGAGCTTCACTGGCAGATGTCTAAGGAAGGAGATTCCCCGTGTAACCTGTCTCCTAAGGGTACAGTAAGTGGTGTCTACAAAGGGGTGCACACAGATTCAGAGGATTGGGGAGGCGCTGCTTGCATTAGTGAACACTCAATATGACCCCTAACTTAAGACCTTGGGAAAGGGCTGGACTTCCGGGATGACACTGTTGAATTCAAAGAAACAGAGTGCAAATTTCTAGTGTATAAGGAAATGTCAAAGACAGTGAAAACTTTCACAGGTAACCAAGAAAAGAGTGAAGAGAGCATGCCTTGCTTCCCTTTTGCATCTAGAGCAAGGATCCTTGAGTTGCTAAACTGCCAGCAGATGATTTTAACACTGGGAAACGGGCGCGTGCATCCATAGGGCCTGAACAGGCTGGGACTAAAATGGCCAATTTATTCTTGGCTTGATAAAACAATCCCATCAGGAGACACCAAACACAGCAATTTCTCATCTAAAAAACTTGCTAAAATTTAGATATTCAGATATATGCATATGCACATGCCAACAGGAGATTGGTGATTTCTTCGGGCTAGCAAGAACACTGATTGTCTCTGGAGAAGTTCCATTTAAAAATAATCATTGAAATGTCTCCCTTAAATCCAAATGGCCATTAAACAAATAAAAGGCATTGAAACCCATGTAAAGCTACAGGCAAGTTAAAGGGAAACTTTAGAATTTATAACTGTCAGTTTAGCCAAATATAGCTGGTGTGACACAAAAAAGGGTACTGTCACACTGAGCTGGTGGAAATATGAATCATCACACACACATTCACGTTAGGACACAAGCTGGCAAATCTACTGTAAGGAAAAAATGCACATATTCTGGGCCCACAAACACAGAGATGTGGATCCCACTGAGAAAGGCTGGGCGTGTGAATGTGTCGGGTGCTGTGTTGCCATCAGCGACAAGCGCAGTGGAGACACTGAGTACAGATCAGCTGAGGAAAGGTTAGCTCTGGCACACTGCATAGAATCCAAGTTGATGTCCCCAAGACAAAGGAATCAGTACTAGCTCCACCCACTAGAAAGGTTTCCACCAGGTATTCCTTGAGAAGAAAGCCATGCGGAAAATATTGACTACGAGCCTCTATTTTGCACAACATGTAACCTAGCTGAGCTGGATTGCTCTGTGTTTGTTAATCAGACACAACAGCTACTAAATAAATAGCACGACACAGACTAAAATCTGTTTCCCTGGGATGGGAGAACTGCATGGTTTCTGTGCAAGTTCAGTAGGCTTTTCTAACCCAGCTGAGGAGCTAGAGAGGTAGAGGACCAATAGCCTGGGGTTCGGCAAGGAAGGCGAGGCTATGAGAGCTCACAGCAGCAGCCGGATCGTGAGCAGATCATAGGCCCCTTCCAGGTGCTTGGCCACTTTGAAGTTTTGTGTTAGCATTGCTAGAAACAGAGTTTCCGAGGAGTCTGGAGCCTTGCATAGAATTCCATTGGCCCACAGTGTCTGCTAATGAACTTCTACCACTATAATGAATACCAGAAACATAATCAAATTACAAAGTGAAGAGGTCCATTATGCTCTTTGGTTTTGGAGGCTTCAGTCCATGATTGGCTGGCTCCTGCTTTGGGACTGTGGTACCATATCATGGTGGAAGGATGGGGTGGATAAAGCCACTCCCTCGTGGCCAGGAAGTAAAGGAAAGAGGAAGAATAGGGTCTCATTAGCCTCTTGAAGGGCTCCCTCCTGTGGCCTAAAGACTTGCCACTCTGCCCCACTTTTGCAGGTTCCACTGCCTTCCAATAGTGTGAGTCAGGAGCCATGACACAAGGCCTATGAGGGACAGTCAAGATCCAACATAAACAGAGTGTCTCCGCTGGCTGGCTTGGCTGTCCATTGTCAATTCTATGTGATTGAATTAGTAAGGAGAGCAACAAAGAGAGGTGGTTGAGTGCATATTCACTATGATTGTGTTGTTAGGAGTGAGGTAGGAAGTGGAGGCAGGGAAGGAGTAAGAGACTGGCCAGGAATGAAAATACCATGAATAAAATATCAGTCTTTATGCGTGTTTACCTTTATAAAGTAAGTGGGAATAAAGAAGCAGCCTTGGAGCTTGATCTTCTGACCTGCAGGTTCATACTCTATTATCAAGTTTAAAAAACAGATTGCAGAAGCAGGCACAGTGGCACATGCCTGTAACTTTATGACTTAGGAGGCAGGAGAGTAAGTACCTGGGTTTAATGCTAGCCTGGGCTACATAGAGAGATCCTATCTTAGAAAAAAAGAAAAGAGTTGCAAGATACTGAGTAGGTTAAACTTATTTTTCCTCCCGAATTTGTGCTCACAAACATGCAAACATACGGGGTGTGCCAGACACAAGTCCTCAGCCCTTAGGGCAAGCCTACTTACACTGCTTGTGGCACACAGATCTTGTGTACCACACAGGACTCCGCTTGCGCCCCCTGTGGCTTGGCTTGGTTTGATTTAGTCACTCAGCCTATATTTCTATGGTCTGTGTAAACCTGACCATCTTGTTCACTGGGGAGGAGAGTTTGTTGGGGTGAAGGGAGAAGACTGTCAGTGTGGGCTATATCGTTGTGGGGGAGAGGTGGGTTCTCTTGGGAGGGAGCTTAGGAGGCATCCCAGACGGGATAGATGGGTTTTGAGTATTGTCTTGTGTTTTCTAGGGTGGCATTAACACAAGTGTCCCTCATGGAGGAATCTTTGTGAAGTCTATAATTCCTGGAGGCCCAGCTGCCAAGGAAGGACAGATCCTGCAGGGTGAGGGCCATGTCATCCTGGGAGTTCTGCTTTCTGTGGTTTTGAACCCTGGGAAACTCAAGCCTTGTTCATTTCAGTTTTAGAGCCCCCTGTTTCTCCAGGGCCTGAGGTCTTTGCCTGGGAAGGGTGGGGGAAGGGCATTTCATCTGCTTCACCCATCTGATCAGTTGGCAGTGGTCTAAAGCCCATAATAAAAATCAAGTAGGAAACGTAAGAGAAACTTGCTTCCGGGGGAGAGCATTGCTTCCTTAGGAGGACAGGGCCGATACCGGTGACACCACTTTAGCATAGGTGGCATTGTGAGCTGTGAGCTTTCTCTATGCCTCCTCCAGAATAAAAGAGCTGGCATTGGTGACCTCACTTCAGATGGGGGATATCATGAGGTGCCCTCCTCTAGAAAACACACTTGGCATTGGTGACCCCACTTTAGAACAGGGCCACTGTGAGTGTTTTCTCTGGCCTGGATCACTTCTTGTTGCTCTGAAGGAAAGAGTGGTTTTTCTTCCCTGAAACTGTGCAACTGAACCAGAAAAAGCCACTGAAGAGATTATTTATTTCTGTTTCCCTTGAGCTCCAGTATTTCTAGCATCAGCTATTGTTTCCCTGACCCTTTTTTGAAATAGAAAACATCCTCAGGATATAAATATTACCCCGAGTGAGTTGAAAATGTTTTAAAAAATAGTTTCACAGGAGAATGGGAGGAAAGACAAGGGTGACAAGACCTGACTTGGCCATTCTATGAGCCAATAATAGACAGGCTTTCAAGTCCTTGCTCTGTCCTGTGCCTCAGGAACAGGCCCAGGGGCACAGCAGTCCAGAGAGGCAGCTGATGCTCAGGCTCATGCAGGCTCCTGCTGAGCCCAGGGTCACCTGGCAGCTCTGCTTCCTACCCCATAGGCAGGAGTCTTACAGAGAGTTCTTCTAGCATCCCTGGGGGACAGGGCACATGACCAGCCCTCCTTTTCCAGGTGACCGGCTCCTGCAGGTGGATGGAGTGAGTCTGTGCGGCCTCACTCACAAGCAGGCTGTGCAGTGTCTCAAGGGTCCTGGGCAGGTGAGTACGTCATTCCTGGGGACCCTTTCCTTACTTCCAGAGCTTCCCAGCAGTTGCCTCCAGGTAGGAACAAGGCAGCCGAGAAATAAAACAGGACTTTTTTAGTCTCGTTTTCCTCCTTTCTCACTCTTCATCTCAACACCATTTTTTCTATGAGAATGTGAAAGCCAGGAGGTGGCAGACAGATGTTCTAAAGTAGAAAACCTCACACCCTTTAAATAGATTTGGAGAGCGCATAGTTGCTTGCTTTGATTTGAGCCTCAGACAGCAGAACAGAACTGAGGCAGAACACAGGCTCCTGGTGGCTGTCTCTGGCTGTACCCCTGCCTGTGCCAACCTCATTGACCAGGGAAAGCACCTGCAGTCAGGCTCTGACTCTTGCACGCTTTGCCTACAGTGACCCCCCCATCTCCCTGATCATGTCCTTGTCTGTCACCCTGCATGTACTTATACCCACCAGGACCTGAGTTGGGTAGTACGGGGTTTCTGTTCACTGCAGTGAGGTAGAGATTCAGGATACTGGGAACTAGAGGTGCTCAGTGCACCCTGTAGTCTGTGTGATGCTCATGCAGGGTTCCAGGATTGTCACGGGGCTCTGTCATCTGACTCACATGGGAGCCCTTTATTTGTTCGGGTATCCAGAGCCACTTATTTCTATGGCTTTCTCCTGGTGATAGGGGAGTTAACAGGGAGAGAAATGATTTCAGTTGCCCTCTACTTGACTGCCGGGTACAGCTGAAGTCTCGCCTCATATCTTCAGAAGGGCTCATGATTACTTAGCACCGTCTGTTTATTAGGCCCTCCTTATGTACGTAGTTAGAGAAAACATGTCTGGACGCCTGCACAGTGACAAGTCAGAACTGCCCCTGTGGGGTCTTGGGCCTGGTGCTGAATGACAATGGCAGCAGAATGATGGCGTCACGGTCAAGTGCCCCAAAATGGAAGCTTGGCACTTCTAATTCACTACCTGGTGATGTCCAGCCACTGCGTTTGAACTGTTTTGGGTAATGAGAGCCTGAGATGCTGTCGGGAAAAGGATAAGAAATCAATCCAGGAAAAATAGAGGAGGGTCGATCAGCACGGGCCTGGGAAACCATCCCGTGGTTTGGGATTCAGATAATTGGGGACTTTAAAGTGGTCATTGCAAATTCAGCTTTGTGTCTTAGACCAGTTCACTCATAACCGTGCTGGGAGTGGACAAAGAAAAGGAAATGGGCCAGCAAGTCAGGTTAGAGCTTGCTGCAGTGTCCCTGGCAGTGGAGGGGGAACGGAGAGGTTCCAAGAGAGTTACTTTTGCTGGAGAACTCATAAGCCTTAAAACCAAAGGAGCACGGAGGCAGAAGGGGGAGAGCTGGATGACTCCAAGTGTGGCCCCTTGAGATGCTGATGGGGGATGACTCCAAGGTCCAAAGAATCATAGACAAAGGGAGGAACACTTTAAGCAGAACGAGGAGGGTGGGGAGAGCAAACTAAGGGCAGAAGAGGCAAGCTTGCCACCGAATGTGCCGACACTGAGGTACACACATCACCTCCAGCGGCACTTGTCTGGTTACCATTGCATTTGCCAATCTGTGCCCCATGTCGGGCAAGGCTAGATTTGAGAAGCAAATAGAGCAGCTTAGTGGAAACAGCAGAAAATAAAGAAGCTCTGTGGTTGCCGTGTGATGTGCAAATTGAGTCTGTCCACTCATCTTTCTAGGTGGCACGGCTGGTCTTAGAGAGGAGAAGCCCCAGGATTGCGCTACCGAGTCCTTCCACTGATGACAGGATGGGAGATGTGCACATGGCTGTTTCCCTGGTAACAGCCCGGTCTGGCAGGCCTGCAAGCTGTGTCTCAGTGACAGATGGTAAGAGGAGAGAGAATTGAGCGTTGCTATTGTCATCATCATGTACTGCTGTAGAATTGTCGGGTCAGAGGGGAAAGATAGGGAGGCTTCCTCTGGGTTAAAAAACATGACAGCAGCGTGGCTCATGATCATCATCTGAGCTGGGGGGAATGTTCTTTGAAAAACAATAATACGTTGTGCCCACATGACTACCACCAATAATTCTGCTCCCAAGCCTTGTGCAGTTTCCTGATCACCCTCCTGAATATTCATGTCTGTACACAAATATTTAGGGATGAAACGGAGGTGAAAGGGTCAGGAATTTTCAAATACAATTGGTTCTACATTCCAGCCAGGCATTTGCAACAGAGACATCCTGGGACTGGCAATTAGGAAGCCAGCCCTGTTAGTAGCATCCTTTAGACACTCTGGGACTGACACGGCAATCAGGAAGCTAGCCCTGTTTGTAGCATCCTTTAAAAAGTCAGAGCTGTGACAAGCTAGAGGGGCACACTGCATCTCTTGCTGGGCCACCTCTCTGCATGTCCATGTGATTTTGTTTCCTTCTGGGAAAGGCCTGTTTCCACAGAATACCATGGGTTGCAGCTTACCATATCCCACTCCTTCTGTAGGGGTTGCTGTGGCCGCGCTATAGGAACTGTGAGGCAGGTTGGGTGCATGGTGATGACGTCATCCTTAAATCAAGGCTGCCTCTTCTCCCCTCAACTCCTCCATGCGCTCACTCCAAATGGAAACTTCAGACAATGAGCTAAACACGGAGCGGCTGAAGCCAGTGTGGCAATGGCAGATGCGCTCATGTCGCAGACCTGCTCTCTGCTTCAGTTATTTCCTTTCTTGCTCTAGTGAAAACGTGCAACCCAAGGCTCTGTCACTCTGTTCACTGCTTAACTTCTCAACTAGTGAAGACAAGCCAGGAGAAGCCCGGAGACTCCCTTTGCTTACTAGACTCCCAGGATGCCCAACGTTGTGTCCATCTCTGCAGTCCAGAAGAGACTGGTCTTGTGGTCAGTGTACATGGCCAAACAAAATGGCAGGGAGAACATTCTTCAGAGTTGATTGTCATTGTCCCCCTGATCTGTTGACATAAAATTTCACGTTGCATATACAAAAACAGGATTAAGATGTCACATCTCCATGTATATGTAATACAAGCGTTCCTGGATGCTATAAGCAGACAGCCTATGTCTAAAGCTCCATCCTTACATATAAATTTAGTTGTTTATATTTAAAGACTTAGTACAGCAAACACCTGCCATGTGCGACTGACTGCTGAACATTTAAAATGTTGAAGGAGCGGCAGGCTGCATTCCCACCCTGCTCCAGCACGGCTAGCTTTATATCCGAAATAACAACACACAGATTGTATTCTTTTAAACACTGCCTGGCCCATTAATTCCAGCCTCTTATTGGCTAATTCTCACATCTTGCTTTAACCCATATTTAATAATCTGTGTAGCACCACGAGGTGTGGCTTACCAGGAAAGATCTTAACCTGCATCCATCTTGGAGAGGAGCGCTATGGCGTCTGCCTGACTCAGCTTCTTTCTCCCAGCATTCTGTTCTGTCTACTCCACCTACCTAATTTTCTGTCCTATTAAAGGGCCAAGTCAGTCTCTATTTAACTAATGAAATCAACACAAAACAGAAGACTCTCCCACATCATTAAAACATTGGGATTATTGGGACCGAGTGTGAGTCAGGAACCTCTGAGAAAGCAGATCTGAGCCAGAGACCTCTAGGGGACTGGGCCTAAGCCTCCATGAGAACAGACCCAAGCCAGGGATATCTGTGGGAACAGGTCTGAGTCAGTGACCTCAGTCAGAGCACATCCGAGGCAATAATCTTTACAGAAGCAGGTAAAGGGGAGCCACCATAATGGAGTACTACACAGCAGAAAAAAATTATGACAATTGAAATTTGCAGGCAAATGGATAGATCTAGAAAACACTATATTGAGTGAGGTAACCCAGACTCAGAAAGACAAATATCATATGTACTCACTCATAAGTGGCTTTTAGACATAAAGCAAAGAAAAATCAGCCTACAGTTCACAATCCCAGATAACCTAGACAGCAAAGAGGACCCTAAGAGAGACATACATGGATCTAATATACATGGGAAGCAGAAAAAGACAAGATCTCCTGAGTAAATTGAGAGCATGGGGGCCATGGGAGAGGGCTGAAGGGGAGGGGAGAGGATGGTAAGGAAGGGGAGAAAAATATATAGCTCAATGAAAATAATTTTAAAAAAGAAAAATGAATTTAAAAAGTAACAAGTAAAGCCTAAAAGAAAGTAAAAATGAAAAAATTAAATAAAAACATTGGGATTGTGGCCATCAAAATGCAGTGAACTAGCATTCAAAGATTTAGTCTGCAAGAAGAATGAAGATGACCTCAGTCATCTTTTGTGATTGTATACTGATGTGGTAGTCATTTAGATATGTAGACAGTCTCTAACATCTCAGTCATCTTTTGTGTTGATTGCATACTGATGTGGTAGTCATTTAGATATGTAGACAGTCTCTAACATCTCAGTCATCTTTTGTGTTGATTGCATACTGATGTGGTAGTCATTTAGATATGTAGACAGTCTCTAACATAGCATGACGAGGGTGTGAAAGTCACACATCTTCAGAAGAGGCCATGCTTGGAACTGGGATGTGGTGATAAGATGTGGCTTAGAACCACTGTTGCCAGGGAAACTGCAGCAGCTGTGTTGCTATCCTAGGATGCTGGGCAGGTTAGGGTCATTCAGTGCCCTCTCAACACAGTCTTTCTCATAGATTTACCAGGAGTAATCCCTTTGTAAATTGAGAAGCACTGTATTGAGTTAAATGCAATATATATTATTTTACTTGTTTTTTTTTTCACTTTTAAAAGCATGTAGCAGCTGGGTGGTGGGAACACACTCCTTTAATCTCAGTACTTGGGAGGCAGAGGCAGGTGGATCTCTGTGAGTTTGAGCCTGGTCTACAAGAGCTACAAGGACAGCCAGAGCTATACAGAGAAACCCTGTCTCAAAAATCCAAATAAAATAAAATAAAATTAAAATAAATAGATAAAAGCATGTAGCTACTTAAAAGCTTTGAAAGGCCCTTTATGGTTTGCATTTACAATGTAGACTCTATCTGTACTCAGCACAGATCTGTCATGTGTGTGATGGACTTTGTCATTAAGTTAGCGCAGGAACAACTTCTCTGTAAGACAGAAGTCATCATCTCCATGATGATTCACAGGTCAATGCCTGCTAGCTGTCACCCACCAAAGGGCCTATTTTCATGAATCCCCCTGTTACAGGTCCTACATTTGAAGTCAAACTGAAGAAGAACAGCAGTGGTTTGGGATTCAGTTTTGTGCAGATGGAGAGAGGGAACGGCAGCCATATCAAGAGCAACCTTGTTAGGATTAAGAGGCTCTTTCCTGGGCAGCCAGCTGAAGAAAATGGAGCCATTGCAGCTGGTGACATCATCCTGGCAGTGAACGGGAAGCCCATAGAGGGCCTTGCCTTCCAGGTGCTCAGAGCCCTGCGTGTGGGGAGCACAGATCTGGGTGGGAGCTGGGGTGGGGAGCACAGGTCTGGATGGGAGCTGGGGGTGGGAAGCACAGATCTGGATGGGAGCTGGGGTGGGGAACACAGGTCTGGATGGGAGCTGGGGGTGGGGAACGCAGATCTACATTGGAACTGGGAATGGGGAGCACAATCTGGATGCAAGCTGATATAAGTCATGTTTCTTTGAGGGCCGTCCCCACAGAGAATACTTTGGGCACTTGAACCTGGGCTTGGAGCCTACAGAAAGCAATCAACAGGATATGCCCGTACTTATTTTCTATCTCCGTTTTAAAATATATGACCTTAGTAAGCATTGCTTTTCAGTAGGCCCCTCAGTGAACCTGAACCTGAAACCTGGTTTATGTTCTGGCTAATGGTCAATCTGTGCACATTCTAGGAGGCAAGGTGAAGCTGGAGGGTCCCTTTCCACTTTCCTTGAGATTTGTGCACTGAATTTATAGCTTTGCCTATATGGTGTGGCATAGACTTTCCTAGTTTTATTTGTGGTCAAAAATATGTGGGACTGGAGAGATGGCTCAGTGGGTAAGAGCACATACTGCTTTGCAGAGGGCCTGAGTTTGGTTCTCAGCACCTGTGTCCAGCAGCCCACAAAGTTCTCTAACTCCAGGGGATCTGATCCTTATTTTTTTTTATTTGATCTCTGCAGGCACCTGCATTCACATGTACATGGTCATACAGAAACACACAGGTGTAGACATAATTAAAAATAAAAACAATATGTTAGTGAGGGTGGGTGGGGAAGAGAGAAAGAGGAAGACTTGTAATACAAAGTCCCAAGGAAATGTCTGTGGTTAGTTGGAGTATTGGCAAAGGACTATTGTTGCAGGGGAGAGGCCAGCTTGTTTGTCTCAACTGCCCAGCTAGGTTAAACCTGAAATAACCACACAGAAACTGTATTAATCACAACACTGCTTGGCCATTAGCTCTAACTCTTATTGCCTAACTCTTACATATTAGTTTAACCCATCTCCATTAATCTGTGTATTGCCACATGGCAGTGGCTTACCGAAGATTCTAACCGGCGTCCGTCTCTGGCGGAGGATCCATGGCTTCTCTGACTCTGCCCTTTCTCCCAGCATTCAGTTCTGTCTACTCCGCCTATCTAAGTTCTGTCCTATCTAAAGGCCAAGTCAGTTTTTTTTTTTTTATTTATTAACCAATGAAAGCAACACACAAACAGAAGGACTTCCTACACCAGACTGTCATTGAAGAGACTTTAACAATGGTGTGAGTATGTGATTGGGAAGTAATATGGAGTATAGCTCTCTACCTTTTCTGCCTCAGGGTATGAGAAGGCGCAGCTACTCAACCTTAGAGATCGAATGGGTAGCGAGGGTTCACTGGCACAGTGTGAGACCTTCACTGGTAGATGTAGTCATCCTGTGATGACCCAACAGAGGAAGCCAGGAGCACACCAAGCTCCTTCTCTTCCTTGTCCCTCCCTCCAGCCAAGCCCATGTGGATGCTTCATGCCGCCCACATAAGCAGGGTATTCAAAGCTTGAGTGAGATAGGGGAGCTGTGCATTCCCGGAACCACATGAGTTTAGATGACAAGTTCTCCTCTTCAAATGTCTGTGTGATCCAAGTGCAGATCTCTGTCACTACTGGGGAACTTCAGTTCCCGAAGACGGTAGATATGGGGGCGGTGGTGAGGAGACAGCTTTGTGTCAGAAAAACCACGGACTCTACCGATGATTAATCATGAAAGAAAAGCCCAGGCTTTTGTAGACATAGCTAGGTTCTGGGAAGAGGGGCTGTGAGTTTGTGCCATGGTGACAAAATGTGTGAGGAAGCTGACGTTACAAAGGGAAACTTGGTGTGTCTCATAGTTTCAGGATTTTTAGTCCATGATCGTTTAGTTCCGCTGGCTATAGATCTTTGGTGAAGCAAACTTGATGATGGGGAGTGTGGGGAAAAAAGAAGTTTCTCTCCCCATGGCAGCTGAGATGGAAAGAAAGAAGAAAGGAGGGGGAGGGAGGGAAAAAGGGGGAGACGGGTGTTGTTTCTTATGAGACTTTTGGTGAATCCTGAGACAATTGTGGTTGTCACAACTGATATGTACCACTGTCATATGGTGGGTAGAGAGACTAGAGATGTTGCCGAACACCCTTTGAAACACAGGACCTGGGTCCCCACAAAGAATTATCTAGCCCCAAATGTGGAGAAGGCGGGGAGGTTGAAAGATCCTGGTGGAGACGGGCAATGGAAACCATGTTGGCATCATGTGCTCTGGCAGCGAGAGGGCACCTCAAGCACAGGTTCTTAATTGTAGAGGCGTAGGCTGTGTTACAAAGATGAGCAGGTGGGAAAGGGCAGTTTGAAAGGCAGTGGCAGGTGCATGCAGGCTCCGTGACCTGTGTGGTTGGGGTGAGGAGGGAGGTGGCTCAGCAGGTGATTGCACTTTGGAAAGACTACCCCTGGACAATGTAGAAGGAAGCAGGCAGGATCTTGAGAGAAGGCAAGGATCCTCAGAGGAGATGAAGTCATTCCAATTCCACAGGGGAACAGCCCTTGGGCCTCAGCCTCATTATGAGGAGATTCCTGAAGTCCTCTGTGTATTGCTGCTGTGAGGTCCCAAGTTTGTGGCTTCTGGATCCTGGGTATTTGGGGAGTTAAGCTTACAATGGTATTTTCCCAAGTTCTCTGGAGCCAAGCTGTGGGTCAGAGTGCCAGGGGAGGAGGTTTCCTGGTAGCAGTGAATAGTACAAAGTAGAAACCCCAGTGAGGCAACCCCAGATATGACTGTGACTGGGTTTCTTGTAGGAAGTGCTCCATTTATTGCGTGGGGTTCCAGAGGAAGTGACGCTGCTCCTCTGCCGACCCCATCCTGGGACACTGCCTGAGATGGAGCTGGGATGGCAGGTAAGATATGGGTCCTTGTCTCTCCTCACTCACTTTCGACCTGGTGGTCCTGAAATGGTCATCACTACTTTTGGGGATGGGGAGGGGACAACACCCACCCTTTCCAGTGGGGGCAGGAAAGCTTCTGCCCCTCAAACCTTAGTGCATCTGTTTTCTTCCCTGTTCCCATTACTCCCACCTTTGGGACCATCTTATAGATATATAATATATAAAAAGGTTAGGCTTTGGTTATGAAAGTTCTAGGCTGTGTCCTCTGAGCACAGAACCAAGGCAAAAAGAATTTCCTGTAGGAATTTCCACACTGAGGAATAAAATGCATTCCTAAAGCTTGAAACAGACAAGTATGACTGGGGCAGAGGTCAGAGCCAGTGGGACCACAGAAACATGGGGGCTTTGCCTATATGCATATATCAGTCTGGTTCTCCAGAGAAACAGAACAAAGAGAGAAAGATGATGGATGGATAAATAGTTGGCTGGCTGGCTGGATAGATGATGGATAGACAGACAGACAGATAGGAAACTTATTATAAGGAATTAACTTATATAATTCTGGGGCTGGCTAATGTAAGCTTTACAAGGCCAACCAGCATGCTGGAGACCTGGGATGCTTAGATGGTGGCACAGAGGGGAGCAGGCAGGACAGAGGAGCTGGAGCAGAGGCAGCACATGGGTGGATGCAGGTTCTATGTGGTGAGCTGTGTGGTGTGAGCAGGGTAGTAGTCTGGAGGTGGAAATTCTTCTGGGCGAAAGCGGCTCTTTACTCCCCAAGACTTCTGCTGATTGGATAAGGTTCTCCACAGCCTAGAGGGTATGCTCTTTGCTCAAAAGATACTAACTTGTTAACCACACTCCAAAATACATTTATCGTGATATCAGTTGTGGTGTTTTAAAAAATATCTGGGTACCTTGGCTTAGTCAAGTTGACATATGAAATGATCTGTCAATTGCTGGGGACTCCTTCCTTGGTCTTTGGGAAATTGGCTTTGACAGAGATTTGAGGACAGGGAGACTGTGTGGGTCAGGAAGTTGTCCTCAGCAGAGGACGAAGTCAGTGTACACACCTAACAGGGTCCTCGGCTGATGCCACAGGGAGCTCTGGAGCTGAGGTGGCCTCTGGCACCTGTCCAGAATAGCACACCCACATTAGAGTATGCAATGGTGGTGAGGATAAACCCTAGCTTTACTGAAGCATCTCTGGTGTAGGAGGATCTTCATTCTATGTGTTGCTTTCATTGGTTAAATAAAGAGACTGCCTTGGCCTTTTGATAGGACAGCAGCTTAGATAGGCAGAGTAGACAGAACAGAATGCTGGGAGAAAGGAGGCAGAGGCAGAGAGCCGCCACCCTGAAGCTGCCAGGTCAGACATGCTGTATCTTTCCCAGTAAGCCACAACCTCGTGGTTCTACACAGATGATTAGAAATGGGTTGAATCAAGATGTAAGAATTAGCCAAGAAGAGGCTAGAGCTAATGAGCCAGGCAGCAACTTAATTAATACAGATCTCTGTGTGATTATTTCGGGCATAAGCTAGCCAGGCAGGATGGAACAAGGGGTCCGCGCTCTAATACAACACATCTCCATTAAGTTGAATGCAGCTGCTGGGTGGTCATGAGCCAGCAGCTGCTTTCCCTGAGCGCATGGAGGAAAAGCAATAGTTCCTGGTATCACAGAAAATAATGGAGATGCTTTTGGGGCTGCAGTAAGGAAGTCTATTAAGTAGCTGTTTGTGAAGAACAAGCATGAGGTCCAGATTAGAAAACATGAGTACATAGACTTACATAAAGGCATGGAATGGTTGAGCTTCTCCCCTCCTTGGAGCATGAAGAACACAGTAGTGAGAGGTCTACTAAAGAGAACTGAGGCTGAGAGAGGGGCATGAGAAGAGACCAAACCAGGCAGCAGTGGGCATCTCACACAGAGTGAGAGTGAGGCCGAGGAGATGGGGCAAGAGAAGAGGTTGGACCAGGCAGCAGTAGGCATCTCGTAAGGGTCTGAGCGAAGCACTTTCACTAAGCAGGATGTACCAGTTTGGAGGTTGTTACTGGAGAGGGAAACGGGCAGATATGTGCTCTTGGGATTCAGGAAAGCTAAGTTGCTGGAGATATTCCACTCAGAGTTTGCTATAAAGTAGAGCAAAGAGGTGGATGGCTGGTAGGTGAAGGGCGAATGGGGTTGAGATAGAGGTTGACTAGTAAGACCTGTGTGGGTGAGGGAGGACTCTTAATTAGTGTGTTGTTGTTGCTATGAAGAGGGAAATTGGGAGAATGGTGCTGGGGGCTTGAGAAAGATGGAAGCTCATTTATAGGAAACAGAACTGATGCTGAGAAAGGTTATGAGCATTGGCATCTGCAGCCACACTTATGGCATTCATAGGGCCAGAGGCTTGGCAGTCGTGAGGGCTGTGGTGGATTCACTGGGAACCGGAAAGAACTTGCATTGTGTAGAGTAACAGAGGCAGAAGCTGAGAGGAGTGCAGGAGGAAGCTGGGGGCCTTCTTCATGAGGGAGTGACATTAGGGATGCAGAGTCAAAGGGAAACTGACAATGGAGGAGTCAGGATAACAAAAGGCATGGTGATCAAGATCACCGGAGACTTTAAGGAGTGAGGGCAGAGGCTGTCTGGCAGGGAGTGAGAGCAAGACCTTGAAGGGAGACTCAGGGGCTGTCCCAGGAGTGGAAACTGCTCTGTCTCTTTATGTTTTAAAATCTCCTCCACTTCAGATTTTGATATTATTATACCCTTTATAATAGGCACAGTCTACCAGCAAGGGACTGGTTATGATTTATAATTCAAGTGTGCGTCTTTGGGGTATTCCTTTTTTTTTTTTTTTTTTGGCAGGGTCACATGCTATCTCAAAGGCTCACCCAAGGGAGGATCCTTGGTGTGGATATGAAGCTTCCTCTGTTCGGTGAGCCCGGGGCTGGGAGTTTAGCATTGTGATCTATGATGGAAGGGAGTTGGTTGTAGAGTGAGAATACTGACCTAATTTTCAGGAAAATATAAAATCCTAATTTCCATATGGTTTTAAATATTCATACATGTATTACCCAGTCAGATAGAGAACCAGACAGATGTTAAAACTAATAAAAATGGTTCAAAAGAGATATCAAAGACCAGCATGTTCATTTATGAAGTTGTACAAAGTTTCCTCTGCACTAAGTTTCCAACTCCACAAATGCTACCCCTCCCAGTTCCAGCCATCTCTCCCCACATTCTCTCTCCACTCTATTTCCCGCCAAACCTGATCCCCCACTCCTCCAGTCCACCCATAAAATATATTCTATTTCTCCCTTGCTGGGAGATCCCTGTATTCCCCCTGCCCCGCCAACCCCTCCTTTTTACATGACCTCTCTAAATCTTCTTGATCGTAGCTTGATTATCATTTACTTAACTGGTAAACTGGTAATATCCCCTTATAAATGAATATATACCATATTTATCTTTCTGGGTCTGGATTACTTCACTCAGGATGATTTTTTTCTAGTTCAATTTACCTGCAAATTTCATGATTTTTTTTTAAAAAGCTGAGCTTTAAAGACACCACATTTTCTTCATCCATTCTTCTGTTGAGGTATATCTAGATTGTTTCCAGTTTTTGGCTATTATAAATAAAACTGCAATGAACAAGGCTGAGCAAATATCCTTGTGGTAGGAGGGAGCATCCTTTGGGCATATGTGTAAGAGTGATATTAGCTGGTTTTGAGGTAAACTGAGTCCCAACTTTCTGAGGAAACACCATATTAGTTTCTATAGTAGCTTTATAAATTTGCACTCCCACCAGCAATGGAGGAGTGTTCCCCCTTGCTCTACATCCTCAACAGCATGAACTGTCACTTGAGTTTCTGCTCTTAGCCATTCTGACAGGTGTAAGATGGAATCTCAGAGTTGTTTTGATTTGCATTTCCCTGATGGCTAAGGATGTTAAACGTTTCTTAATTGTTTTGAAGCCATTTGATATTCCTCTATTGAGAATTGTGTTTTTATATATGGTTCCCACTTTTCAATTGGATTATTTGCTGTTTTGGCGTCTAGTTCTTTTTTCTTTTTTTATATTTTATTGTTTTAAACTGAGCTATACATTTCCCCCCACGCTCCTTCCTTTCTCCCCTCTCCCCCATGCTCCCAATTTACTCAGGAGATCTTGTCTTTCTCTCTAAGTGGAGACATATTGCCCTGGCTGTTGTTGGTTGTGTTCTTTTGCTGGCGTGTTAGCTTCTAGGCTTGGGATGATTGTAGATTTAGGTGCTGATTTCTGGATTTGTCTCTGTCTCTATAGCTCAGACCTAAAAGCATCCAGAACATCTTCTGATTTATTTTTAAAAATTATTTTAATTTAGAATTATGTGTTTGTGGATATGTATGCCTGTAGATAGGTGCATATGAGTGCAGGTGCCTCCATAGGTCAAAGAAGGTCATCAGATCCCCTGGATCTGGAGTTACGGTCATTGTTACCTGCTTAATGTGGATGCTGAGACCTGAGTTCTGGTCCTCTGCAAGCCTAGCAAATGCTGTTAGCCACTGTGCCATTTCTTTAGCCAAAACTTTTTTGTTTTTGTTTTGTTTTGTTTGCTTTTCAAGACAGGATTTCTCTGTGTAGCCCTGGCTGTCCTGGAACTCACTCTGTAGACCAGGCTACCCTCAAACTCAAGAGATCCGCCTGCCTCTGTCTCCCAAATGCTGAGATTAAAAACGCATGCTACCAACAACCGGCTAAGCCCCAATCTTTTATTTCTTAAACATATTTTAGAGTTTCTTTGGTATGTGAGTGTTGGTAACCCTTCACATTTCTTTAATAGACTCCCGAACTATCAGCAGACCAAAGATTCACCATGGCAACGTGTACTGAATCAGAGCAGAGCCCCAGCCTAGATCAAGAGGACAGCTGGAGGGACAGTGCCTCCCTGGACATAGGGGAAGGCCTGGCTTCCACACGAGAGTCTTCTTACAAGGCTGTCAGAGAGGTGAAAGGAGACCAACACAGACAGGGACCCTGGGCCAGGTCCCCGATGCGCCCTATGGAATCCCATCCTCACTTGTGCAAACTCCACCAAGAACCAGAGGCACCAGCGTTGGCTACCTCTTTGGAAAAGGATATGAGACAAAACTGCTATTCTGTGTGTGACATCAGGAGACTGGGAAGGTAAGATTTAACATATTAGCAGAGATTTTGTGAGCTGTGTGCATTGCATTGCTAGCTGATTACAATCAGTCACCAACTATAGAGAGGATTATTGTGCCCAGCACTGATCTGGGAGTTTGAGGGGAATAAGAAACTACAGAAGTCTGGGATGGGAGCTGCTACAACCTGGGAACTTTGGGGAAGAGCAAACTCCACCCAGATGACAATCATCCCCAGTATGTCCTCAGGCTGCTAATGGCAGGCCTTACATGTTCTCCCAGCGCACAGTGTGTATTCTGTTCCCACACAGCCTCTTTAGTTGCTTGTGTTTCCTGCCAGCACACAGTGTGTATCCTATAGTCCCATGGCCTCTTTAGCTGGGGTGCAAAGGGAGACTTTCTGCACGTGCTCATTTCTATTGATGACATACACCTTTCTTATCAATACTACCTGGAAGCATAGACCCTCCCCCAACTCCTCCCAGATTCTCCCCAACTACCCTACCAACCCAACTTTATTCCTCATCTCTTAAAAACCAAACAAATCACCCTTCCCCCAGTTTGTGTTGGCTGACTACACCTGGGTGTGTGGCCTGCCCTGGATTGTAACCGATATACTAAGTTTTGTTCCATTAAAGACAACTGCCTTTCTCTCACCTAGCAGCAATTGCATGCCAACAGTTTCTTGGCAAGGCGTGGGATATTTTTTTAGACAAGAGAGTCATTTATTTTTTATTTCCTGAATCAGATTAAAATTTGGCTTACTTGTAAGGCTACACCATATGTCCAAAACCTGTCATTCTTGAAGGGTGTTCCCTTTTGAGGGTCACTTAGAGTCTTTTAGGTTCTGAATATTCTAGTGAGGTGTCTGGTCCTCAGTTGTTATGGTTACTGTCCCCCCACCTTTCTTAGGTTTCTGAGGCTATGAATAACTAGCTGCAAGCCCCTTTGGGCCCCCACACCCCTTTGCACCCCTTTGCACCATGGTGGTTCTGGGAATGACAACATTCCTCCTCCCCTTATTTCCTGGTTTTACTCTTGCCTCATTTTCTTCTTCCATTCAAGAATTTTCTTCACTCTGAAATCAGGACACAAAGTTGTGGCAGGCCATCTTCCACAGGACAGTGCTCAGCTGCCATTTATGTACTCATAGCAACTGTTTCCAAAGAAAGAAAAGTGTAGCGTATACGCAGAAACTCTAAGGAAGGGTCCTCACCTTGGCAGTAGGGTTCTAATTAGTATTCCAGCGTGGGATGGTGGTTATCCATGGGCTCCTTAGGAATATCTGCAGGTCAGAGGTGGCTGTCCCAGCCAAACTGGCCTTTGATTTGTGGCCTCTCTGGGTCCAATGTTCTGTAGTTTGGGACAAAAGGCACAAATCTGTGGAGCATGTCATTTAGAGCCAGCATTACCACTTCTTCATGTGTGTGCCTAGAGAGCTGTCTTCCCTTAGTTGAGGGCTGCCCAGTCGTAAAGTAGCCCCGGGATGCCTAGGCCACTGTGCAAGCCAGGAGAAATAAGATAGCACAGGGCCTAGCACACAGTAGGGACTCAGCACTCTTCTGTATTCCTACTTTTTCTTGGGAAATTTCTTGTTAAGGAACGAACCGTATCGACTGAAATTCTCAGTCAACTCCAGAACTTACTCTCTGCCAGGTTGCTCCATCTTAACAGCAGATGGCTGCCAGCACCCCAGCAAGCTCAGTGTGTATTTAGATTTCACTTATCCTTCCTCATACCCACCTCTATCCTACTTCCGGAAATTAGACATTGTCATGGAAGATATGGGTTGATACCTATGGAAGAGGAGGGCTTGGCTGGGAATACATTTTTACACAAGGCTACTTGGTAAAGTTTGGCCATAAGGTGACAGTCATAGCCAGTCTTGTTATGCTTGGGCATCATTATAGGCTGTCCAACACCTCTGTTTTTGGTGTGGGAGCAGATCACTTTTTCTTTGGCTAAGTCTCACATCAAAGATAAAGGTATCCCTTGAAAGTGTGGAGGGAGATGATGGTGAAGATGAAGCTTTGACAGCCAGGCAACTGCACTGGCCCACAGACATCTGTGCTCTGCACCCTCAGACAGTTGTTTTCTGTACCCATAGACAGCTGTGTCCCCCCCCCCACCACAAATGTGCTCGGCACCTGTAGACAGCTGTGCTCTGCACCCGCAGACACCTGTACTCTGCACCCACAGACATCTGAGCTCTGCACCCACAGACAGCTGAGCTCTGCACCCACAGACAGCTGAGCTCTGCACCCACAGACAGCTGTGCTCTGCACCCGCAGACAGCTGAGCTCTGCATCCACAGACAGCTGAGCTCTGCACCCACAGACAGCTGAGCTCTGCACCCACAGACAGCTGTGCTCTGCATCCACAGACAGCTGAGCTCTGCACCCACAGACAGCTGAGCTCTGCACCCGCAGACACCTGTACTCTGCACCCGCAGAAAGCTGTGTTCTGCACCCGCAGACACCTGTACTCTGCACCCGCAGACAGCTGTGCTCTGCACCCACAGACAGATGTGCTCTGCTCCCACAGTGTGTTCTGCACCTGCAGACAGCTGAGCTCTGCACCCACAGACAGCTGAGCTCTGCACCCACAGACAGCTGTGTTCTGCACCCGCAGACAGCTGAGCTCTGCACCCGCAGGCAGCTGTGTTCTGCACCCACAGACAGCTGAGCTCTGCACGGGCAGGCAGCTGTGCTCTGCATCCGCAGGCAACTGGGCAGTGCGTGGCTTTTCTTGCGTTTTTGTCATAACTACCCACTGTTCCTTCTCTATGTTTGTAAGAAAACATAATTTATGTACATTTGACCAAGTATTACATTTTTAAACCAAATATTTGCCTAAGTACTTGACAATTCCTAACTTGTTTTATAGTCTTGACAAAATCATTTTGTATACACAAGCAAGCATATGCTCACATGAATGCAGTTTTATACAGATCCTGTAGCTGGCTTTCAGGACTGTAAATAATGTCCCTTCATAGCAAACCACACTGTCTGGCATTTGTGGGTTTGTAGCTATTGGGGTATTCTAGGGCTGATTTTTTAAGAGAGACAGGCATTAGGGCAAAGGGGAGCAGGGATGGGAGCATATAATGAAACTAACTCATTGATCTGGGTGTGGGGCAGGGGGCTAAGAAGTGAGGATCCAGGCAGTTGGTTAGAAAAACAACTAAAGGTCTGTGCTTTTCTCTTAGATTTTCCTTCTCATCTTCTCTAACCAGATTAGCAAGAGATATTTTCTGAGCGCCTCTCTGCATGTGTGCAGTGCTGCACAAAACACCCTGCTGTCTGCAGGACTGCTCTTTCTCGTCCAAGGCATGTGTGGCTATCTTGGGTTCTCGCTGGAAGGCATCTGCGTGTGCATCGCCCAATAATGAGCCTCTCCGGTCCTCTGCCTCCTGTGTCCTTCTTTTGACATGGGGAATAATGTCACTCCAGCTGGCTGCCTCTCTAAAGACTTCATCGGTGCTCTGAAAGGGACCTGATATTTGCACAAAGTGCTTTGAAGGTTGCTCCTAGTCTCCGTGGGCTCTTTTCCCTCTAATCTGTCTGCTGAAATAGCTCCAACTGTCAGAGTCGCACACAATAGCAGCATTTCACTGATGGAAAACTTGCCCTGTACCAGCACTCCTGGAAGGCAGATAATGTATAACAATCATTTAATTTGTAGCTTCTAACAATTCTAACAATTTCAGTGTTTCAGATAAGAAAACCAAGATTGCAGATAAGCAGTACACCTACCCAGGGTCTCAGTGTAAAACGTGGGTCCTAGAACTGACCCCAGCTCATAGCTTTGCCTGCACTGTTGTGCCCTCCGGCAGCTCCCCCCATGGGCTCCTAGGTTTGATATGCTGAGCTGTTTCTGCTTACTACCTGCACTGTAATATTTCAGGGCTGCTTTTGTTCTCATGTGCCTGGTAGTCTCACCAGTTCAGGGACCATAGTATTTGCTGTTTGTACCCTGGCGCTCTGGGCATCCTCTGGCCGGGTCTTAGGTAATGAACCAGGATGAGGATCTTGAGAGGCAAGGAGAATGCGGGCCAGGAATTGCTGATGGAGGTTGGACCACACTGGACCACGTTTCTGTTTTCTGGTCCTGGATTGGACAGGGATGATGCTGAAGGTGGCACATGTTTTCTTCACGAAACCTCTTCTCTCACCTTGGATGATGAAGACTACCTGACCCTCAACTCCACGTTCTCAGGCCAGCTGCCCTGTGAAGAATGTCTAGAGGCAGATTCTGAGACTATTCCTCTGCCGCAGTTCTGTTCTTGGGGTGCTCTTGCGAAGTCTGCACTTCCGGAAGGATCCCCCGGGAGTGAGAGTGACTGGGAGGATCTGGAGGAGTCTGTGGCATCCTCTGGTGGGTATCACACTCTGTGTGGGATGAGGCTTCACAGAACTCACTTAGGTTGGAGTAATGGTCCCCTAGGGTATCATCTGGAAGCCATTTCTGCTGACTGCTTACTGTGGTCCCTGTTCCATGATGACTACTTTACCAATTGGGGACTGTTTCATATGCTACATCAGAGGCTTCTCCAGGGCTCTACAGTGACTAAAGCAGAGAGGCAGAATTCAAGCCATTCTCTCCCTGCTCCTGCGTCCACACGTTGAGTGTCCCCTTTGCTGCCCTCCAGCACATGTGTGGATACACCTTCTCTCCCCAGGTTTAGCTTTCTGGAGACCAGCATGTCAAGGGCTAGTTTCTGTCTTGTCTACACCTACCTGTCCCTGGGATATATATGCTTCAGAGAATACTCCCGGTGTCATGTTACTGGAGGCTGCTTATAGAGTCTTTGTGGTTAGGTACACATCAGAAAATCAGGCATGGTGGCTCATATTTGTAATCCCAGTACGTAGGAAACATAGACAGGAGAATCACAACAGCAAGGGCATCCTCAGAACACTATGGAGCTACCAGAGACAGAAGCTGGGAATTTTACCAGGTAAGCCACTGCCACATGGCGATACACTGATTACTAGAAATGGGTTAAACCAAGATGTGAGAGTTAACCAATAAGAAGTTAGAGATAATGGGCCAAGCAGTGTTTTAATTAATATAGTTTCTGTGTCGTTATTTTGGGGCTAAGCTAGTTGGGCGGCAGGGTTGAACAAGCACCCCCCTTACATGAATATGATGCTAAAAAGTCCCATTCTTATCTGAAACAGACAACAAGTAACTAGGAGGATTCTGAGGCCTCAGAGGCCATTCACATACACTTGTAGGGAATCCGACATCCTGACATGGAAGAAAGACACGGATGGGTGTATAGAACTGTGAAGCCAGCAGGGAGAAGCTTGCATGTTAAGATCACCCTTCTAGTTGATCTCAGTGTGGCAGGAGAGCTGAAAGAAGGCTGAGCCATCTATGGGCACCCATAGGGATCCAACTAAGACATTGATGGCTGTCTCCAGAAAGAGATCAGAGAGGAAAGGGCATTCCCATGGGAGGAGCTAATGTTTCCATCCTGGTGCCACCATTCACTGAACATGGAGACAATGGCGCCTACCTGAGGCTGTCGTTGAAAGTCTGAGAGGACAATACTACGTGTATAAGGTGCTTTTGGTAACAGCTAGCTATTGTTTTCATAGACTTCAGTGGGATGATGCAAGCTTTTGAACACAGCTGATTCTGCTGTTTTTCCACATAGACAAAGGCACTAAGCAGACAGGCTGTGTCCTAACATCAGGTTGGGGCAGGGAGAAGCTCTCATCTATGGTTGAGTGTGGAATAGAAGAACTGGTTGGCCCTTGGCTATAGACTGGGGATGTAGTTGGGATGAACCATGTCATCATCTCAAATCCTACCCCAAAAAGAGAACAGGTCTTGTCTGCTGCTTATAGAGTATGGAAGTCGGGTGTTGAGTGTTCATGGTGCCAGCTTGGGCCTAGGCTCTGTGGTTGTTCCACATATATGCTTTATAGCACCCAGGGCTTTGAATCACACTATCCCTAGGCAGTGTGACTCTTTTGGGAAAAGCACCATGTACATCCCTTAAAATCTCTGAAGGGTCTAAGTCATCCAGAAGGTGAGTACTTCTGCTTATTATTCTCATTTGTACCAGAAGTTGGGGGAGAAGAGGATACAAGAGGACTTTGCTCATGGCTAAGCAGTGCATCCTTTACAGCTATAGTCGAAGTATTGTTTGCTCCATTTAGACAAAGATGATTAAAAATAATTTTTTTCCCTGATGCTAGAGAGATGAATCCACAGTGAAGAGCAGATCGGCAGCACCCATACCAGGTTGTTCACAACCACCTGTAATCCAGTTCCTGGGGATGTGACACTGTCTTCTAGTTTCTACAGATACAGGCACACAGGCAGCAGACACCACACACACAAACACACACACACACACACAATTTAGAAATCTTTTGAAAAAAAGGTATTTTCTATAAGTAAATTTAATCAGTCTTTGTGGTATTCTTAGTTATCTTCTATCAATAGGCTTTGTGGTTTTATTTAAATTGTTCAGGTTCACATTCTGTATGGATCCAAACCGCAGCTGTCAGAACTGGCTTTTGATGCATTTTCACAGAATGGCTCTTTCCACAAGAGTCTATAACACACACAACTTTCCATCAAGTAGCAGGAGGATAACATGTTTATTTTAAGGACTCCGGAGCACAAAAAGTTAATTAATTTTACATAGTAAGCTTCTTTATCTACACATTTTTACATCAGGCATTCATCACAAATAATCGCTGGTCTAGTTTGAGGCCTCTGGTCTCTGATACACCATAGACATTGGGCCCTCATTAGGATTCTTCCTGGACATCTCAGTGCTGCTCTGAGTCATGGAGAACCTGTAGTCCTGGATCTGTGGGATTCTCCCCCTGTCCCCTTCCCTCTGTGCTCCAGCAGATCACAGATGGGGTGGACTTGGGGTGGGTCAACACTTAATCCTTATGCTGGGCTTGGGCAGTTGCAGGGTTGGTCAGCCTACCAGCTGTCCCATGTCCTCGTCACCAAGGTGAGCTCTCCTGTATTGTCAGCTCCCTCATCTATTACAGGTTATGAAGGGTGAGGGGGGCACTTCTCCCTGCCCACACAACTGCATGACAGACATGCTTGTTCACACCTTTAAACAAACAAACAAGCATTTTTCTTTTTACGAAGTCAAAATAACAACAAAACCCAGTAAAAACAAAATCACCAAACCACAGTTCAGTGGGATAGTAAGAACAGGGTTGAATTATATGATTTAGAGAGGTTTCTGCACAACCAACCAGCCACCTACTAACATCTGCTCACTCTTTTAGGTGAGCACACTGAGCAAGGCATCTCCTGGGACAGAACCTGAGGGCTCCTGTGTGGGCATCCTTTCGGTGGAAGAACCCTCAGCTGATTTTGGTCTAGAGAATGTACCTACCTATCTGCTGTGCTACCACCAAAGAAGCATCCCCGAGAAGATGGGGTGTTAAGTGCTGACTCCTAAGTCTTCGTGCCTGGTGTTTCTGAGGCTAATCATCTTTAGTAGTCACGACTTCCTCTTCAGCTCTGGGGTTTAAGTCAAGCAAATCTTTGTGTGTATGGACTGGGATTCCTCTCATGAAAGGAACTGGGGACTAATTATTTAAATAAGGTAAACTACGGCAGGGGAAAGTTCTGGTTGCCAAACAGGGGCACCATTTTCCAACATGCAACTTTCTGGTTCGCACCGTTGAGTCTTCATCAGTCAAAGGACTCTTATCAAAGTATCACCAGTATACTGGAAGGAATCTGCCAAGGGGCTTGGCTCAAAGGCCACAGGGGGAATAACTTTCTGTGTTTTTCTGTTTGGGTTTTTCTGTCTTTCCTTCAACTCCAAATAATCATGTGTTCTTTTCAAATGACTTTTCTGTTTGATCTTAATGTCTGATTCTCATTATATAAATGTAAACTATAGTAGAGCTAACATTTCTTGATGTTGCTATGTAGATGCTGCAATAAAACTTCTGGAATGAGCAAATACATAAAAGAAATAGACCTGGTGGACCACAATTCAAGTCGCTGGTGTGCCACTGTATGATGTGAACTATATAGCAGAGATACGGTCTCACATAATACAATGAGGGTGCGTGTTTAATGTAGGTCATGGCTTGTTCTGCCACTTATGGAAAATAATTTTTCAGCGACTTGAATAGTCTTGTTTTGGACAGTAAATATATCTTTGCATATTGCTGCATAGTTTTATAGGCCTCAAGTTTGGAGAATTAATTAACTATGCAATAAAATGACTAAATAACAGTTTTTTTCCAATCTTCTGAAGTCTGGTTGCTTCTTCCATACTTGAACTAGAAATAGGCAGATACATAACTGTGTAAACATAGTCTTTTTCCCTGTAGGACAGGGTCCGTTCTCCTTAGGCACGTATGCCCATGCGGAGCCATTTTTTTTTTCATGAAAACATGTTAACTCAGGCCTGGAAAGATGGCTCAGTGGTTAAGAACATTGCCTGCTCTTCCAAAGGTCCTGAGTTCAATTCCTGGCAACCACATGGTGGCTCACAACCATCTGTAATGATGTCTGGTGCCCTCTTCTGGCTTGCAGACATACACACAGACAGAATATTGTATAAATAAATAAATAAATAAATATTTAAAAAAAACAAAAAAATGTTAACTTGCCTTAAGGGCTTGGTAGCAGCTGTCACTTTATGCCAGGGGAAGTATGAGAAGGAGCGGTACAGTCCTATGAATTCGTGGGTGAACCCTGGCTCTCAGCACACACCAGCATACTTTTCTACACGGAACACTTTCAATCTTCCAAAACGCAGACTCAGTGGGCTTACCCTCTGCAATCCTGAGTGACTAGAGCTGGGTGATGCCAAAGGCACATCCTATCACCCAGTTCAGCAGGTGATTTTTTATATGGCCGGATTTGGGGACAACTGTCCGAGAACCTCTGAGGTTTCTCAGTGACTTCTCTACCTTATCCCTTGCCAAAAATTTCAAGTTCTTGTATATCCTGGAAGTTGCTGAAATATATGCATATCCAGTCCTAAATACAATGTAGCGTTGGCTAACTCATTTGAAATAGTAAAGATACCAAAGTATCCCCAAATTATTTGTATGTCTACTGAAGTTCCTATCATAATCCTGGCACAATAATTTGGAGCTGTAGAAAAATTTATTCTGCAATCAATTTTGTTTTATGTTCATAATATAATTATATGAAGAAAATCTATTCTGAAATTTATATTAAAGGTACAGGCTTTAGAATAGATAAAATGTCTTTTAAAAGAAGAATAAGGTAGGAGAAATTACTGGACCCCAAATTAAGCCTTGCTATGTAATTTTGTAGATAAAAAAACCCAGATACATAGGACTGAATGCAGAACCCAGAAATATGTTCACACACATATTCTCAATTGGTATTTTTGACAGAAGTATAGAAGAGATTCCATGGAGAAAGAATAATTTTTTAATAGTATGGGGATAGCAAGTATCTAAACTTCACACTTTGTATAAAACAAGTAATAGATTTAAATGTAACTGTAAAAGGGTAAGACTTTTAAAAGGAAAAAAAAAGTTTTTGAAACCTATGACTAGACAAAGAGATCTTAGACGTGATGACCCATAAGTAAAAGAATTGACATTTTTTCCCCTGTAAAGACTTTAGTAAAAAGACTAAAGATAAACTTCAAAATGAAAGAAGGTAGCTATAAATACAACAAAGAACTAGTATCTAGTATATAAAAAAGAACCCTCAAAGCTCAATATCAAAAAAGAAATCCAAATAGAAAATTGACATGAATTATTAGTATACATGCCTCTGCAGGTGTCATACAGAGTCATATCAACGCTGAATTTCATGAACCACCAATGTAAACTGAAGTTACAAAATTGTTTTACGAATGTCTCCACGTGGTAAAATAAGGTTATGCAGACAATACCCAAAGCCAGTGAGGATGCGGGAAGACTGCACTGTCTGACTATGTTGCCGCTCAGACTGTACTTACCTCTCCGTTGCCGCTAAAATTGCACTGCTTCTCCGTTGCTGCTAAGACTGCAGTGCTTCTCTGTTGCTTCTAAGACTGCACAGCCTCTACGTTGCCGCTAAGCATGCATAGCCTCTACACTGCTAAGCATGCACTGCTTCTCTGTAGCCACTAAGAATGCACCGCCTCTACGTTGCCGCTAAGACTGTAGTGCCCCTCTGTTGCTGCTAAGCATGCCCTGCCTCTATGTAGCCACTAAGAAGGCACCGCCTCTTCGTTACCGCTAAGAATGCACAGCCTCTACGCTGCTAAGAATGTAAACTGAGCATCTGATCCAGAAACACCTTGATAACAATTTATAAAAACCAAACACACAATTACCACAGGACCAAGAAGTTGTACACTGTGAGTTTATCCCAGAGAAATTAAAGTTTATATTTATACAAATATTCTTTGTGAGTTTACTTTAATTGCACTGAGCCAGAAAAAACCAAATGTCTTTCAACCAATGAATGGCTAAACAAAGGGTGATAATCCGTTTAAAAAATAGGCGATTGACACATACACCTTTGATAAAAGATTGCTCAAGACCAAAAGACTCCAAATTTCTTACTCTGTTCTTAACATCAGTCCTGTGTACTCTGTGGGTATAAAGTAGTCTGTGACGAGCCTATTCAGCATCTTACCATCCTCCTCCTTGCCCGGGTTTGCCTGGATGGCTGCCTTCAGAGAAATGCCCCTTTGGTAGTGATAGAATGAACCATCATATTTAATTCAGGGGACACATAGATATTTGGGGGGGGGGGTTGGAAAAGTTCCTCCGTGCATCTATGAAGGAAATTCACAAGTCCTTATTTATGCACTCCAATGGCTAGACACTGTTGGTCTTTCTAGGACCCACAGAGTAGAACCAATCTTAAGAATCGGCCAAATGAAATCAATATTATGGCTATCTGAGCAGGAAGATGAAGGAACCCTGGGTTTTGGGTACTATATAACTGAGCTTCTGAGCCAACTACATAGGAGTCCCGTCCTGCAGTGAGTGCTGAAGGTCTCCTGATGACAACCCTGAAAGGGTTAATTACCATGGTGGATGGAGGTTATGTGGCATTGCACAGGCAATGAAGTCAGATGTGAAGATTTCCTGCAGAGAAATCCCTGAGAAGCAATGAGCAGCGCTCATACCTGCCTAGACAGTTCTTTGCTGAGAATGCCAACTGCAGAGGTGCCAGAGCCTGGGTCTGGTGGGTAGGGCATGTACGTAAAACAGGGTGAGAAAGGAAAAGACAGTGGTGCTCCCTTTCCCCAGGTGGGAATGCAGAATGGGGACAAGCAGTTAGGTAAGCTAGAGGGAGCTTTACATAGAAACGAGACTGTTCTGGGTGCTTCACCTCATTGACCAGCCCAAGGTTTTGCATGCAAGAGCCTAGTGAAAAAAAGACACTGGAGCAAGTTTGATTGACATTGGAAAGACACCAAGAAGTTGTGCTCTGTTGAGCTCAAATAATGAGGTACAATAGCAAAGCCTACGGCCTCTCTCCTCGAGCTGTATCTTACAGAGCAATGGGTACATCAAAGCTGTGGATGAGTTAACAGCCATCTAATGGAACAATTATTTTATATTTGTGGGGTGTCTGCCATCTGCCAGGCTCAGGGACTGGGCATTTATTACGAAGTAAGTGCATGTCCTTCTGAAGCTCTTTAAATAAAATGTTTTTCAGTCTCCACTGGGGCTTTTATTGGGATTGGACTTCGCTCAATTTATTTTTATAGAGTCTTTTATGGCAAGTGTCTCAAAGTCAGGCAGGAAGAAAGCGGCACACAGAGAGGCCACACAGCTTCCTTCAAGCTCATGGTTCTCATCAACTCATATTTAATTCTGGCTGTGAAAAATTCCATCCCAAAATAAACCGAGCAACCAAGCAGAGGCTTGCACCAGGGTTGTTGTGGAGGGGAAATGTCACTCAAGGGATTATTCTGTTTCAATCATGGTTTCTTTTTTCTTTCTTCTTCTCCTTTGACAGGCTTCCACAGTGGTTGGAATTCATAACATAGCCTAGTCGACCTGAACTAGCTCTCTCTCTGTCTCTGTCTCTGTCTCTGTCTCTGTCTCTGTCTCTGTCTCTGTCTCTGTCTCTGTCTCTCTCTCTCTCTCTCTCTCTGTCTCTCTCTCGGCATGCGTGTGTGTCATATCGTGAGGTGTGTATATTGTATATGCTGTATGCGATTGTTAATGTGGGTGTTATCACATGTGTGGATGGCTATTTGCAAATGCAAGTGCACACATATAGAAGGCAGAGGTAGATGGCAGACCACCCTCCACATTTATTTATTTGAGACCAAATTATTTATTTGTTTATTTATTTCTTAGGTCTCTCACTAAATCTGAAGCTTATCTACATTTATCTATCTATCTATCTATCTATCTATCTATCATCATCATCATCATCATCATCATCATCATCTATTATTAGGTCTCTCACTAAATCTGAAGCTTATCTACATTTATCTATCTATCTATCTATCTATCATCATCATCATCATCATCATCATCATCATCATCATCATCATCTATTATTGGTCTCTCACTAAATCTGAAGCTTATCTACTGGGTGAGGCTGGCTGGAATGAACTTCAGCGATCTCCCTGTTACCACAGCTCCTTTCCTAGTATTCGCATTACAGGCACGTGCCACTGTGCCCAGCTTTTTACTTGGGTTCTGGGGATCTGAACTCGGGTTCTCACACTTTTATGGCATGTACTTTACCAGCTGAGCCACCCCTTCAACTCGGCTACAAACTCTTGATCCTTCTGCCTGTGATTCTTGAATGCTGGGGTTAGAGGTATGTATTACCATGGTTAGGTTTCTGTCAGTATTTTTAATTTTTTATTATCTGCTTTTCCAGGCTGGAA